TGTGGAAACGTGGCCTGTTCATGACGTTTACTGTACTAATAATTGAGAATACAAAAGCTGCATGTTATCATTAGTAGAAATTCGATGTGCAAAACTGAAATACTTTTTAAAGCGGCGCTAAACCAAACTCACTCACTCTCCCTACTGTACTGCCACAACTACCAAGTTGCTGCTGATGCTATTACTAAACCACTACTACTACTACTACTACTACTACTACTACTATGACGACGTCTACCACTACCAGTAATACTACCACTACGACGACAAAGTACAACAACCACTACTACTACTACTACTGCTGCTGCTACTTCTACTACCACTACTACTACTACTACTATGACGACGTCTACCACTACCAGTAATACTACTACTACGACGACAAAGTACAACTACTACTAGTACTACTACTGCTGCTGCTGCTACTACTTCTACTACTACTACTACTACTACTACTACTATGACGACGTCTATCACTACCAGTAATACTACTACTACTACGACGACGTCTACCACTATCACTACAATTACTACTACTACTACTACTACTACTACTACTACTACTACTACTGCTGCTACTACGACGACTACTACTGTAACCAACATAACTACTACATATACGTTGCTGCTAGTGCTATCACTAAACCACCACCACTACTAGTAGGAGTACAACTACAACAACTACTACTGCTGCTACTGCTACTGCTACTGCAACTGCTTCTGCTACGACTACTACTACTACTACTACTGCTACAACTACCATAACTACTACTATAAATGCGTTGCTGCTACTTGTTATTAACCGTCACAACTATATTGTTGCCGATGATGACGATGATGAGGCTTCTACAGATGATCTAATATTCGTCACATGATGAACCTTGGTTGGAAGGCACACTTCGCAGGTGCTTTAATGAATGAATGAGACGGGCTTTAGGTCGTTTTGAACAGTGTTTCAATTGTATCAGGTGTCTGAGCTCAATGTAGCACGGAACGTAAATCTCAAAGAGCCGTTTACCATTTGTGTAAATACCACGCCTACTGGCACAAATTCTGAATCTGAATTTCAACAACATATGCACTACCACCAAGCTCGTAACTAACATCTTCCTATACATTGCGCATTTGACCACTTGACAAACCCATTCTAAGATGCTTCGCTATACATCAAAGGCGCCGATTATATTCTGCGATAAAGTCTCCACGTGTCCCTTATTTATCTCGAACTTTGTCCTATAAATATTACAAGTGTACATGTATTTGTATTCAGCTACCATAAGCTGTTATTAAGCCGGGGACCGCCACGAGGTCGTACACCACTTGACTGAATGGACAGTGTTGTTCCGCCTGGAGTTTCCGTGTCTGTTGCAGGAGAAATCCTATACACACACGAGCAGGGCACGGACGTTGGAATACACCTGATATGACATACCATATTCTTATAATGGATGAACTTATGAAGTCCAATGGACAATGTATTGTATGCAAACCATGTAAACACTGCATTCATTATACTAAGTCTTGTCAAGCCATTGTTGGTCTTTAGTCTCTAAGGGTATGTTGGTATTGTCAGGGTAATTCAATAATTAGATCATTACAGCATTTAGAGGTACGACGACTAAGTAAGGACAATATATATGGATGAACAACTTCTTTATTTTTAGTAAGGGTTTCCTTTGTGATGCTCTGTATTGTTTGTTGCACTAGATGTTCGCATCTTCTCGAGGCAAGGGAGTTATCTTATTCTAAAAGTCCAGTTTCCACCCTTGCCGAACTAGGCTGGTATTATGGAGTTACATTTTGGCTGGACTAACGAGTATATGCATTGTCCAATCAAATTCGCACACCGAAATCGAAATCCGGTTCGTAAACCGTCGTGCAGATTTCGGTCGATTGCAGGATTTGCAAAGCATGTGCACCGCCAACTCGTTGTCAGCAGATATTTTCCAAATCTTTTCATGTTTTTAATCAAGGTGCTCACGTGATGTGATGCATTTCGCGATGTAAGACCCGTTTTATCACAATATAGATCTTGATTATCGATCAGATCGAATTTTTTTGACTGGGCGCCACCATTTTGTGTGAAGCAAATGCAAGTGATACGACAGGTGGAATCTGATTGGTCCATAGGAGAGGCTTAGAAAGGACAAAACTGGTAATAGCCACTGGTGGTGCTACGATCGAACCCAGTAATTCCAGCCTAGTTCGACAAGGGTGGAAACTGGACTTTTATAGTCAGTTAACTCTCTTGCCTCGGGAAGATGGATGTTCGGGGAAGCGGCTGTATAGTCCTGAACCATGACTGTGGAATAGATGCATTTTATTGAGAGCAAAACCAGTCTCGATTTATAACAGCTCTATTCCACATCAGCATCAGGAAAATTATTTGTTTTAATTTTAGAGAGAAATGTATTTTGTAATGAAAAATTTCATACATTACGGCAGTACGGCTGTACTGTGTGAAACATTTTTTGAGATGATTTTGTTCAGAGGTAAGGTAAGTGTTGTTTAGTAGAGTAGATGTTGCGTCTCGTCTTGCTAGGGTTGACATTATTCCTTTCTTGTGTTGAGGTGGATGGCATAGTGAAGGTACTGTGCGGGTTGGTTTGGGTGATACTAGTATACAGTTGGGGTCGTCTAGTTGAGGGTGAGGGTGACAATGGTACCTTGTGGAGCCAGCAGAGAAGGGATGTGGGGGTGGTTCCAGGGTTGTTTCTTCTATGTGGATGATGAAGATCTCGGTGATTAAGGTGATAGTGGGTTTGCGGATAGATATGGTATCTAGGGGTATCTCTATGTGGTATCTCTATCTGGCATCAGGCAATACAGAGCATCACCGAGAAATACCAGAAAAAAACCTTCCCGCCAACAATCTGTGCCCCTTGACATCAGCCTCTCCTCCTTTGGAACTGTTAGCCACAAAATTCAGACTCCTACAGTGAGTGAGTATAATTTTACGACGCTTTTAGCAATATTCCATCAATATCACGACGGGGGAACACCAGAAATATGGGCTTCACACATTGTACCCATGTGGGGAATCTAACCCAGGTCTTCGGCGTGACGAGCGAACGCTTTAACCACTGGGCTACCCCAACGCCCCGAGACACCTAAAAATGTAAAATAGGCCCTTTGGAAAAACGGAAACTTCAAGAAACTATGGAAATTCAAAGAAAAAAGCCAGCCATTAACAGAGACCGGGGGATCTATCTACCAGCGTGTACCAGTGTGCGATTAACCGCAAATGAACATATTCATGTCACATGTTACCAGTATAAGGTATATATATAGTAATAGAAGCTAATAATGTAATAACAGTATAGGTCAGTATATCAAACTCTGAACAGAATCCCTTAATGTACTGGTTATCAGACGCGGATCCTTTTTGAGATTATATTTAGTGGGTGAGGGAAGGAGTAAATATATGATGTTTAAGGCCACTTTTAGTAATACTACTTTGGTGTGACGAGCTGACGCGTTGCAAGGAGTAACCACCGCCGCCATTGCCCCCAGCACGAAGGCTGTTCATATGTGACGTATTGGAGAAAACACGCTCACGAGGTTTTGGGAGACAGAGCATGCCCCGGGGAGAGGGAAAAATCAACGGGGCGAAGCCCCCGCGGTTTTTCCCGACCCCCAGGGCATGCTCTGTCTACCAAAACCGAGGGAAAGTGTTTTTCCATGCTTATAAACCGAAAAAAGAAACTTAAAACAACATTTATCAACATTTTTATGTTTCGAACATACTTTCCATGAACCTTAGGAAACGCGCGTAAAATATCTGTTGCTGGCGTACGGATCTTGAAAAGGACATTCTAAAAACCAGTGATACACTCCCCGGGCTACAGATATGAAGGTTGCGAGTTCGATCCTCGGGAATATAAAGAAAACATTTCTCATTTCATTTCATTACATGTTACAATCTGAACGGAAGTTATATCAATAAAATACCCAGGACATTATATAAAATCCCTGGGATATTACAACGTCCCTGTTTATGAGATTTAACCCGACAGGAAAGTAAAACCTCACAATAGGTCTTAATGCCTATAGAAAGAAGTCTCTTACTTAATAGCGATCCCAATGAATAGGTTTATAAGTATTCCACATGCTTTCATCCCTGTCGCTGTGACAGAATATTAGATATGATCTTGTGGGTAAGACATGCATCGTGGGTTCGGATCTCGCTGACGACACACGTTTGTATCAACTTAAAATATCATGAAATAAAATGATAGAAAAATAGATATTCAGTCATTGTCTTGTGGTCTTATACCAGCGATTCCGTTAGTTAAAGTTTGGACAAATGAACCTTGGTTTAACAGTTGGTTGTACACTTCTCAGTAAAGGTACCTAACGAACGGTGACAGGTACGTTATAGAGCTTGGACCAGACAAACCAGCGTCGGAGAGAGATACCAACAATCACGGGTCACAGTTCAAGGACCGTTCTTTCACTTTGGTTACTCGTGGCTGCATTGTCTTTAAATTACAATACAGGTGAGGTGGGGTGAAATGGGGTCGCGTCGGGTTCAAGGTCATTTCACTTACCGTATAACGACGTATGGAATCATACAAGGGACATTGTCCCGTTTTGCATTGTTGCGATGTCGCCTTACAAAAACAAGCAAAAACTTTCAAAATTTACCAAAGAGTGACAAGGTGACATTTTAGCCATTTGTGACCATTGCGACAATGTCACTTCTAGGATTTCATATCGACGTACCTGTATGTGTGTGTGACTGCTTGTTCTAGTTCGGACTAATGCCTGTTTTATAGTGACAAGCGCCTGAGATACCATGTCACAGTTTAACATTGATATCCCACTCAGCCACAATATTCTCACTCGACCAGATTTGTTTTATTCACTCAATGCCACGCGCTAGGCAGGGTAACAACAAGTACAATCTTTTAATATCGTTCTTATGACGTGACCGGGGACTGAACACCGACCTTCCGCTCTCAGGGCAAAAACTGTATTCACAACAGACAACACACAAACACTTTGTACACAAAATTTTATTATAAAAACACCTAAATGGAAGACAGTAGGATCTCAAACAGTTTTAGTATAAAGAAGTATAGTAATTTCTCTATCCTCTCTGGCACAAACGATTCTGATTGGCTAATCACAGATACTAGCTTCCTAGGCACTGATTCTTATGTGAAATCTGGGGCACAAACATTTCATGATCTCAATCCATTTTATGAATCTTTGAAAAAATCTACGATGTTGGCAGCCACCAACATGGACACGAATGAAATATACAAACATAAATGCTACATCCTTTTGCAAGAAACAATGAGTGTATGAATAATAATATAACATAATAGTAATAAAATTAGTTATCTTGGTGGTACAAAAAATTAAATATGATCAGTCTCTTGAATGTGCATGGAGAATAAATAACAACAAAACCATTTAAGCAGAATATTAAAACAGAGACTGTTTCATTTCTGATCGTAATACACAAAAATCAATGAACTAATTTTCAAGGACCAAGTTTCTTTTGTCTCCTATTTTACAAGATGTACAAGATTGTGATACAAAATCTACAAAAATCATGAAATATATCAAACGCATACTGAAATGTACCTTCATGAACAGTTATTCATTTTGTGCAAGCCTTTGTCTTTCCAAACATCAAGAAACTGCCTTCTTGGAAAAAAAATAGTTTCAAAATTATATTCTTAAACCAATGTACAACAAAATGAAAGTATTTACAGTTTCTCTGCACCAGAAAGTGAATGTTATTGAAATAACAACAAGACTCTCAGACAAAATTAAGAATTTCAAAAACCAAACTTTTAAGAGTGTACACATGATGAGTAAATATGTACAATGGTATCTAACTGATTTACTGAGAGGATAGGAAAATCTGTTGATTAATATTTAGGGGATATACGGAAACTATACACCTCACAAACACAACCATATACCACACAGCTTTGAGATCGTTGCAACACAGGTCAATTAAACAGGCACAAATTTGCAAATACTCCCTAAAATGGACATTTGTGGTCGTATCCACTGATTCCAAACCTAAGAACAGATTTCGGTTTCTAAAAAATATTTAATTCTGTTTAATGTGTGTTTTAACAAAAGGTGGTCATTTTAATAAATAAATTATGAAATTCAATGGTAAGGAGCGCATCCTGTTTAAAAATGACACCTTGCATCCAATTTAGACTCAGTTACAAATATTTACTTCTTGAAAAATAGTCGAAAGTGCCTGCTTAATCAATTCATCATATAAGAACAATGAACAATATGAAAAACATGCCCAAACCATATTTTGAAAATGTTACATCAACAAAATATTTATTGAGTTTTAGAATTAAGTTTCCTGTTCAAAGATCACATATGATGGCACGTTACTTCGGATCAAAAGGCACCATGCACATTGAAGAGACTGGAGTTATCCTGTTGCTATGGTAACTACAAAATCTACCATTGATGATAACTAGAAGACCCAACCTCCCCAACAGGTATCTCCCTTTTTTCGGCTGCCATATGAAGTTTGCTCTGGCACACAGTGTCTAAATGTCATCTATCAGCACAAACACATTTATTGACAAATATGGCACACTTTGTTGGGGAAGTTTCGTATAACTGGGAGCATCTGTATACACAAAACCTTTAATGTCAATATCATCAAGTCAAGCAGTCAGAGATTGTGTTCTGATTGTGACACTATTTTGGCACAAAGAATTCAAGCATAAGTTAATCCATGTTATAATAAGTTATGGCACTTTTGGATGACAAATCTATAGATTTACATAGCCATATTATCTTAATATATTCTTACTTCTGTGTCTGATAATATTACCACAGAGATACCTTGATATCAATAATTTTAAAATGTATGTGTTTGGAATATTGTACAAGAGAATTATAAAAGAAATATTACATAATAATTTGAATAGTTCATTACAATTAGTTTAAATTTATAACTTTTAATTAAAAAGAATTTTTCAGATATTTACCTACTCAGTATGAATGAATACACATATTGAATACTAGTAACGGGACAACTCAGAGTGACGAAGTAGTTGTCGGTTATCAGGGTTACAGCATCAATGATCATACCTACATTTTAGGCACATAGTCAGTATGACTCTTTGTAATATCATTTATGACTCTTGTTGCTGGAGTCATATCAACACAACAGCCATTTGTGGTACAAGCTATAATCTAAGTGGTCTTATGGTCTTTCTAGATAGAATGATGAATTAATTCATCTTGTATTAATTCACTATAACTCAACAAAATGATATTTTTGCAAAAATAGAGAAAATCCAAAATGGCGACAATCTACAAAAGGGAGATAACCACAAGTACTCTCCAAAGGACTACTGCTAAAAATTTTGATGAACATAAGATGCTGTACAGTAGAAAGAATTCTTACAACACATAGATTTCAAATAGCTGTGACCACATGAACAAACTGATGTTAAATTGAAATATGGGCTAGAATTTGTAGGAGTTCTACCTAAAGCTTATTACTAAGATAGCAAGGACTTGGATAATGGTTGACACTAGGACTGAGGCTGTTGTCATACTGGCGGCACCTGAAACAACAAGAGTGAGTGAGTGAGCTGGGTTCATTGCCCTTTGAACAGGGAGTTTATCATAGTGTGACAGTTTAATGCAGTAGTAAACCCAGAGGACCAAGGACAAGACGGACCCTTTGATATTTCGGTGTTGGCTCTTGTTTTTTTTGTTTCGGGTGTCAGGGTGGTATTGTTATAAAAAACAATTCCTGAGGGTTTACAAAAAACATCCTATTGTTCACTGGACATTTGGGATGTCCTGCAAAATTGGAATGGTGAAAAGATCGAAATTGTTCAGCTCCCCTTAACTACCCTAATCTGTCAGAGCAGAGTTTGTTCCCTCTATTTCAGGACACTATGATTTTGATAAATTAACACTTAATTGAAAATCTTTTTCGAGTTGTCGTTAAAAAGAAAACTGACAAGCAGGGGCAAAAATATCTCCATTTAATTTTTGTCAACATAAAGCTTGTGCGAATATGAAATGCTGACACTAAGAGTTATCAGCTGGAGATTGATTTGAATGCAATTGCCTTACCATTTGGTTCTTCCTTCTCAACTTTACCAACATTGATGCCAGTCACAGGAGCCTGAGTCACTTCTGCTTCATTGTCTGAGAAAAACACAACAATAGCAATGTTAACATCCAGACTGAGAAATAATGGTGCTTACAAAAATGCAAGCAATCCATGAAAAGACATGTTAATAAGAATTCATTTAAAGAGATCTTTACTTGCCAGTACCTTATCATACTATAGATAAGTGCCATAACATGTGATACACCCTATAAACACCAACATATTGCATGGGAGTGTAACGATGTATCAAACTATCGATGTATTGAAATTGCTTTCCCTATGACTCTGCACCCTGTTGAACACTTGCATAGCATACTGCATGTAGTGAATAAACTATGTAACATACTGCACCCTGTATAACATATATATTACATTCTGCACCCTGTATAACATTTGTATAACATACTGCACCTAGTGGATAATCTACATAACATACTGCACCCTGTATAACATCTATATGACATTCTGCACCCTGTATAGCATCTATATAACATACTGTGCCCTGCATAACACCTATATAACATATCACACACCCTCTGTAACATCTAGATGTCATACCACAGCCTGTGTAACACCTATTAAATATACTATACCTTGTATAACACCTACATAACACATTGTATAACACCTATATAACATACTATATTGTGTATAACACTTGTATAACATACTATGTCATATATAACATCTACATAACATACTATGCCGTGTATAACATCTATATAACATACTGTCAAATATTTTTTGTTTTGTTTGTTTGTTTGTTTGTTTAACACCGCACTCAGCAATATTCCAGCTATATATGATGGCTGTCTGTAAATAATCAAGTCTGGACCAGACAATCCAGTGACTGATATCATGGGACAAGCATAGTCGCCTTTTATGGCAAGCATGGGTTGCTGAGAACCTATTTTAAACCGGATCTTCACGGGTCCTATGTCAGATGTTATACATGACATAGTATGTTATATAGATGCTATGTTGTATATAACATCTATATAGCATACTATGTCATGTATAACATCTATATAACATTATATGTCGTATATACCATCTGTATAACATACACACCTTTAGATGTGCCTGTGGGACAGTATTTTTGTGCCTGTGTCTCGAGATAGTGGAGATCATTCTTCATCTTGTTCTTCTTCATCACCATGCACTCGGAATCTGCCAGCGCAAGCTGTCTGCATTCTGTTGTTTTATGGATATAGCTGCAAGAAAATAAACATTGTTTTAAATTGATTGTGTTATAGGCTCCTCCCATTGTTTCCATAGGATCATAGCAAGGCGTATCTCCATCAGAGTTTTACTGAAGTATTTCCCGATACTATTTAACAGCAAAACAGCAAATCAAGTCATGGAAAAAGGCCAAAGAAAACTGTGAATAAACGTTCAAAATTTCTCTACAGTTTGTTCAGCTTCCATGTTTCATGCAATTCAAATTAAATTTCATAAAGAGAAAAGGACATTTATTTCAGTATATGAGGTACATAACATGACACTTTGGACAATATCCCAAAAGAAGTATAAAATATACATCATCCCAGTTGTGTCAATATCCCGTGTTACCAAACACTAATTACAGAGACAACAAGAAGCACGTCTGACTTCACACATTTACTCTCAGAGGCCATGATCTTAAAAGCCCGGATGTACGGGGATCAGTTATTGTACTGGACAGTGATATGATAGGGAGCAGTCATAGCTTGATGATGCAACACCAATGACCCTGTGACTGGCAAGAAACAAAGAAATACATGTCTGCTTGGAATGAACAATGTTTTACTAAAATGTGGCATTAAGCATTCTTGAAAATCAGGCAACTAAGCATAATACAGTTTTCCAGTGAACTACTGATATGTGATGAAACCGTTTTTGAATTCATGCATTACTCTACATCAGCTTCCCTCAGTGTTTGCAATGGAGTGATTGTACATGTCACTGGTATTGCATCTATTTGACAAACATTGATTCAGTCTTCAGCAGGTGGAATAAAACAGTTTCTGGGGTTGAAGTTACAAACAGACATCCCAGGTGATAGATACACCAGGACTAAGAACCATTTGCTGTATATTTCTAAATCCAAAAGACATTGGAAAACAAATCTATTAATTTGCTGACAAAATACATTTGTTTTCATCTACAAAGTCACTGACTCACATTGAAACATATCTATAATTTCCTGTTTTAGGATATCTGGGATAATAGTTGTTTTACTCCCCTTTCAGCAGGTACTGTTTTTTGTTGTTATGTTTAATGCTGCACCCAGTAATATGACGGTGGCCTGTAAATACTCAAGTTTGAATCAGACAATCCAGTGATTGATATTATGAGCAACGATCAATGTTGACCACCTGATCTGATTCATTTGGTCACCAATAAGATCAGGTTGCTGGGGATCAGCTCTAACCCTGACTCCCGACAAGGTGCAGGCACCAATCCAATCAGTGAGGTATTTCAGGCTTCGTATTCTCTGATTTGGTTGGATGAAAACTAGTTCTTGAAAACTAAATTTTGTCAAATGAACATAGTTTCAAGTGGAACACTGTATCTCGTGTTTTGTTTCTCCTGCTGTTCATATGTGATTTTATGTGTGCTTCATGGTGTCTGAGTGTTGAACAAGAGAGGAGTGTTGAGCACTATGTCAGTGATTACACTCCAGGGTCTAATCTATTTAAACCATGACCAACATTCAAAGAACCCTGGCACCGAAAAGTTTAAATTTTTTTGTTATGATAACTATGTTTAAAAAGATATTCAAGAACTCATTCCAGAATCCTCATCCGTGAGATCACTGTGTGAGACGGGTCTGTGTGATGCACGTGATGAATGTACCCTGTGAGATCACTGTGTGAGTCGGGTCTGTGTGATGCCCATGATGAATGTACCCTGTGAGATCACTGTGTGAGACGGGTCTGTGTGATGCACGTGATGAATGTACCCTGTGGGATCACTGTGTGAGACGGGTCTGTGTGATGCATGTGATGAATGTACCCTGTGAGATCACTGTGTGAGTCAGGTCTGTGTGATGCACGTGATGAATGTACCCTGTGAGATCACTGTGTGAGATGGGTCTGTGTGATGCATGTGATGAATGTACCCTGTGAGATCACTGTGTGAGACGGGTCTGTGTGATGCACGTGATGAATGTACCCTGTGAGATCACTGTGTGAGACGGGTCTGTGTGATGCATGTGATGAATGTACCCTGTGAGATCACTGTGTGAGTCAGGTATGTGTGATGCACGTGATGAATGTACCCAGTGAGATCACTGTGTGAGTCGAGTCTGTGTGATGCACGTGATGAATGTACCCTGTGAGATCACTGTGTGAGACGGGTCTGTGTGATTCACGTGATGAATGTACCCTGTGAGATCACTGTGTGAGACGGGTCTGTGTGATGCACGTGATGAATGTACCCTGTGAGATCACTGTGTGAGTCGGGTCTGTGTGATGCACATGATGAATGTACCCTGTGAGATCACTGTGTGAGTCGGGTCTGTGTGATGCACATGATGAATGTACCCTGTGAGATCACTGTGTGAGTCGGGTCTGTGTGATGCACATGATGAATGTACCCTGTGAGATCACTGTGTGAGTCGGGTCTGTGTGATGCACGTGATGAATGTACCCTGTGAGATCACTGTGTGAGTCGGGTCTGTGTGATGCACGTGATGAATGTACCCTATGAGATCACTGTGTGAGTCGGGTCTGTGTGATGCACGTGATGAATGTACCCTGTGAGATCACTGTGTGAGACGGGTCCGTGTGATGCACGTGATGAATGTACCCTGTGAGATCACTGTGTGAGACGGGTCTGTGTGATGCACGTGATGAATGTACCCTATGAGATCACTGTGTGAGTCGGGTCTGTGTGATGCACGTGATGAATGTACCCTATGAGATCACTGTGTGAGACGGGTCCGTGTGATGCACGTGATGAATGTACCCTGTGAGATCACTGTGTGAGTCGGGTCTGTGTGATGCACGTGATGAATGTACCCTGTGAGATCACTGTGTGAGTCGGGTCTGTGTGATGCACGTGATGAATGTACCCTGTGAGATCACTGTGTGAGACGGGTCTGTGTGATGCACGTGATGAATGTACCCTGTTTGATCACTGTGTGAGTCGGGTCTGTGTGATGCATGTGATGAATGTACCCTGTGAGATCACTGTGTGAGACGGGTCTGTGTGATTCACTTGATGAATGTACCCTGTTCCTGTGTCACATCAACCTCACTCATGCCATGCGGGTTTGTTTTTTAAAATCGAACTTATGAATCAAGGAGGTAAAGATATGACACTGAATTAATTCAAAAAGTTGACATCTGATTGGATCCTTAATTACGATTGGGTGGTGAAACTCACTGATGGTTCACCTGTGAATGGTCTCATGCAGAGGTACCATCTTTTAACATCTTTTGGTATGACGCGGCCGAGGATCAAACCCCCGACCTTCCGGACGAGCACTCCACCATTAGACCAGGGAGGCGGGCGGTATCGCCTCAGGGTATAAGGGATCGGATGTTAACAAGATTGATATGGTGCTAGGCAGGAACTGATCCCAGGCCTGGCAAGGGAACACAATAACCCAACTCACTTGCACAACATGGGGACGTCAATGAGATCCTTCGGCTGGGTTTGCACTGTGATCGGAGGGCGGCAGGTGCCATAGGACCCACACTTCATGGAGACCTTGTCATCACGGGGCACTGGGGGCATAAAACATCCTTATCATACTGCGTTGGTAAACATGTTGTTGTTCCGCCCAAATTTAGTTCCAAACCCAGAACAAATATCAGGATTTATTACATAAAATTGTAGTGAAAATGTTTCGACCCTGCAGTGAAAGGTTCTGTCGTCTCTTATGACAAGCATGATAACAGACCTATTCTGACCCGACAAGCATTATGACTGACCTATTCTGACCCAACAAGCATTATAACAGACCTATTCTGACCCAACGAACAATATAACAGACCTATTCTGACCCAACAAGCATTATGACTGACCTATTCTGACCTGACAAGCATTATAACAGACCTATTCTGACCCAACGAACAATATAACAGACCTATTCTGACCCGACAAGCATTATGACAGACCTATTTAGACCCGACAAGCATTATGACAGACCTATTTTGACCCAACAAGCATTATGACAGACCTATTCTGACCCAACGAACAATATAACAGACCTATTTTGACCCAACGAACAATATAACAGACCTATTCTGACCCAAGCATTATGACAGACCTATTCTGACCCGACAAGCATTATGACTGACATATTTAGACCCGACAAGCATTATGACAGACTTATTTTGACCCGACAAGCATTATGACAGACTTATTTTGACCCGACAAGCATTATGACAGACTTATTTTGACCCGACAAGCATTATAACAGACCTATTCTGACCCGACAAGCATTATGACAGACCTATTTTGACCCAACAAGCATTATGACAGACCTATTTTGACCTGACAAGCATTATGACTGACCTATTTTGACCCAATGAACATTATAACAGACCTATTCTGACCCGACAAGCATTATGACTGACCTATTTAGACCCGACAAGCATTATGACAGACCTATTCTGACAGAATGAACATTATGACAGACCTATTCTGATCCGAAACTTCAGACCAGGGGATGTTGAAATATACTTAAGCTTTCATTTTCCTTTTGCTTACTGTTTTATTTTTTTTATTAAAAAGCATAGACAAAAGTGTATATCAAGTGAGACCCTTACATTTGCACTACAATATAATTAAAAAGTGCAGAGAAATTCCCGAGATTTCTTGCTAAACTTACATCTTGTACAATACTCGTCAAACCAGCCTGTCATGTCAGCCAGCGTTGCCTGTTGTTGGTCACTGTTGACGCCGCACATCATCAAGGCATCATGTGCACATGTGAAAAACTGTTGCAGTTGGCTGAAATATGAATTTTGAGGTAGCTATACATTCACACTTTCAAGCTATATAAAGGTGACCCATAAATTATCAATTCTGGGCTAAACAAAACAAGTGATTAATAAAATGAGCAATGTCCCATGACAACGGGGTACGGTGACACAAAATGTCATGGAGACTGACCCTCCAATATGAGTGAATGAGTAAGTATGGTTTTACGCCCCTTTTAACGATATTCCAGCAATATCACGGCGGGGGACACCAGAAATGGGGTTCACACATTTTACACATGTCGTGAATCGAACCCAGGTCTTTGGCGTGACGAGCGAACGACCGCCCCCCCTCCAATATGACAATTATAGGTTTCTGGGGACATGTTCTAACTGTTGGGGGGTTAACCCGAATTTCATAATTCCAATCCAAATTTGTGGATTATCTGCCCCTTATGAACATAGATGTGAAGGTCAGGAAAGTGTCACTTCATTCATTTATAATGGACAAATCAATATTAACATCAAGATCAGACAATCTTTTAATTCGCTTTTTCATATGGTGTATAAAAAGCTTTTTTTATTTTGCTGTTGCAAGCACAAATGTGACGTTGTTGCAGGAGTGTATTGGCTGATCAGGCAGTCTAGGGATACTAATGTTTCAGGGCCGGTCGGGTAGCCTAGTGGTTAAAGCGTTTGCTTGTCACGCCAAAAACCCAGGTTCGATTCCCGACATGGGTACAATGTGTGAAGCCCATTTCTGGAGCCCCCCGCTGTGATATGGCTGGAATATTGCTAAAAGCAGCGTAAAACCATACTCACTCACTCACTAATGTTTTTTTTACTAACGTTTTTGCTTCTTCGTTTGTTGTTTACGCTGGGCTCATCAATACTACAGCAATATGATGGTGAAATGTAAATAACTGGGCCCTGACCATACAATACAGTGATCGATATAGTTAGCAACGATCCATGCCATCGGAGGACGATGAGGCACAAGTAACCAAATCACAGAGTCTGACCACCGATCCATATGGACGCCTCTTACAACCAGCATAGTTTACTGGGTCCCATTGTAATCCCCTTGGCAATTTACTAATGTAGGAGCATGTATATAATGTTATACTTACTCGCAAGATTTATGAGTTTTGAAATTATTGGGAGTAAAGGTTGGAAGGAATGACTGATAGCAGGCCTGCAGTTTGCTACACTCAGGATGCGGGAACATTATTCCTGAAACATAAAAATACCATCACCATCATCCTGAAATGAATACATGCACGCCTGAAATGTGTACTACTTAATGTTAAAGTTACAGCAGCAGTGTTCAGTGTTGATGGTCCATACAGGTGAGGAAAGATGAAATGTGAGCTACCATCGAGTTAAAGTGCAAGTGTAAGAGTGAATATTATCCTACCCTATTTTTTATCCCAGGGAATAAATTCTCTGGTGTCAGGATGATTCTCCCTTGTGAATTTGAACCCATACCAGTGTGGCACTGAGGTAGGATACTATACTCTAGAGTAAAACTTCCCCCGGGATAATATCTAGGTAGGATATAATGCTTGTTACACAAGCACCCCCCCACTTCTGCTCAGCCCTTTACCCACTAGACCACATAGATGGTCCATGTTTAATGCAATAGGCAATAGTTCAGTGGGTTCAGTGAGTGAGTGAGTGAGTTGGGTTTAACGCCGCTTTTAACAGTATTCCAGTTATATCACGGCGTGTCAGCTTAATGTGGGAGGAAAGCCCGAAGTGATGCAGGTCTCAGACGTTTACCACTTCGGTGAAACCCATGAGCACGGGTATGGTGCTGACAAACCTAGAAACATAATCGGGGCGATCCGGGATTTGAACCCACAATCATAGGTTTCTGGCGTGCCCAAGGGACGCAACTCTGCACAGAAATCGCGGCGCCTCAGACGACTGGGCCACCCGTGCCCCCAGTGGGTTCAGAAGGGGGAGTTGTTATTTTCTGAATTATAAAGCAATACCACAACAATAATTCCCTGTGAATAACATCAAACCCAGGCAAGACTAATCAGTGACTGTGAATAAAAATGTGTCCAATGTTTGTCTGTTTGTTTGTTGGTTGGTTGTGGTTAACGCCGCACTCAGCAATATTCCAGCTCTATGATGGCGGTCTGTAAATAATCGAATCTGGACCAAACAAATCCAGTGATTGAAATCATGAGCATCGAGCATCTATGCAATTGGGATACAATGCATCAACCAAGTCAGCGAGACTGATCACCCATCCCGTTTGTCGCCTCTTACAAAAAGCATAGTCACCTCTAATGACATGCATGGGTTGCTGAAGACCTATTCTAACCCGTATCTGCATGGGCCGAATTGTCAAATGAGATGGTTCTAAGTGGTACATGTATCTCAACTGTTAATAAATTTCAGCTTACTCATATATTCAGACAATTAAATCTTACAAAATTCCATGTTCCTGTTCAACACAGCAATCTTAGAACTATGCCTGTCGAAGTCGATGTTGAAGTATGTGTATTACAATCATCTTGGAAGAGGGGCAGAACATTTCAGGGACTGAAGTTCAAATAAATTTGTCAAGTATTTGTAAATGTAAATCTCCTTGGCCCCATTCTACAAAGTGATCTTAGTGTTGAGACAATCCATACAATAACATGGATTTAAATCAAATTTAGCACTAAGATCGCTTTGAGGAACAGAGTGCTGGTCCCCTAATGATGCAGTGGTCTTAGCAGCAAGACAATGGGAACTTCCAACACTTCATCCTAGGCTTATGATTAACATAGTGCTAAGATCGCTTTGTGGAATAGAGGAGTGGTCCCCAATCCATGCAGCGAGTTTAGATCTGAGATAATAGGAACTTCAACACTTCATCCTAGGCTTATGATTAACATAGTGCTAAGATCGCTTTTGGGAACAGAGGAGTGGTCCCCAATCCATGCAGCGATCTTAGATCTGAGACAATATGAACTTCAACTCTTCATCCTAGACTAATGATTAACATAGTGCTACGATCGCTTTTGGGAACAGAGGAGTGGTCCCCAATCCATGCAGCGATCTTAGATCTGAGACAATATGAACTTCAACTCTTCATCCTAGACTAATGATTAACATAGTGCTAAGATCGCTTTTGGGAACAGAGGAGTGGTCCCCAATCCATGCAGCGATCTTAGATCTGAGACAATATGAACTTCAACTCTTCATCCTAGACTAATGATTAACATAGTGCTAAGCTCGCTTTTGGGAACAGAGGAGTGGTCCCCAATCCATGCAGCGATCTTAGATCTGAGACAATATGAACTTCAACACTTCATCCTAGACTAATGATTAACATAGTGCTAAGATCGCTTTGTGGAATAGATCCCAGGTTAGAATAATCCATACCATTTTCTTTTACCAGTGTGACGGGTATAAAAATCTTACCTTGATTGTTGCCGTTTCCTTCTGGCTCTGGCTCGGGTGTGCCATCATCAGTGTTATGACCTGATTCGGTTCCTGATTGCAAGGAATAATTAAAACTTTACAAAACTGAAAATATGTTCTTTTTTCTTTCCTTGACGGAAACATATACCTTCAACAAAAAATTGTTATTCAAAACGACAAGATTCATTTTTGAAATCCATTTCATGACTATGACCCCTCATGGTGGCCATGCATTAGACTTTATTTTTAATTCATATTGGAAACAGTCTAACTCTACCCAATATTTTGTAAAAATATGAATGGAATTTAAATGAAAATATGCATATGCTTATGTCAAACACATAAGCATCCTCCTAAAACAAGGAATAATATTGGCTAATTTTCTAACTTAGATTTCAAAACATTTAAGTTTTCCCTCACATACTGAAACACATTCTTAGGAATCAGCCAGACATGAATAGACAGCTAAAAATGATCAAATTGTAACTTTGTTTAGAAAACATACAGGAATATATAAATACAAACATTGTGAAAATAAAATAAATAATGAAAAAATTAATTGTTTCAATTTCTGAACGAGAAATATATAAAAAATGGGTTCATCACTTTAAGGTCATCCTGCTATGATAGGAATACTAAAAAATAATATTGTCTCTTCCCTCCCTTTCCCCCACCCACAACCAATCTAGTTATCAATATGTCCTTGGCAGCCAATACAAGCTTCAGTAATTGCACCAAAAGATAAAAGATCCATATTTCGTATTTATGAAAAAGCAAAAATAGAGAGAATCTACACAAGTCGATAGATGTTATAAATTCTGAGGCTTGCTGAGGCATTTTAAACTTCATTGATGAGTGTTGATATATTTGAAGATAAAAGATAAAATGGTAAGATTTTATCTACCACAAAAATCATTCTTCCAACACTTTTAGTTTGCAAACAGTAATAACCAGTGTCTTGAGTGTAACAATTACAGCTAACCAGCTTCAGAGACAGACGTGATTTTCTGCATGTCATTGTGATGCAATTTCAATGAAGCTGTCCCAGGAGACATTGCTTGATCTCACCCAAGTGATATCTCCTGTGGAAGCCAGTGTTGGATGATAACACTGTAGGTCTTAAAGTGAAAATTAGAAAAGACTGAACTTTAGCCTGCTCTGTGGGAACCTCACATCCGAATCCGTGACGATCCGGGTTAGAATAGGTCTTCAGCAACCCATGCTTGTCGTAAGAGGCGATTAACGGGATAGGGTGGTTAGGCACACTGACTTGGTTGATGCATGTCATTGTATCCCAATTGTGTAGATCAATGCTCACTATATCAATCACTGGATTGTCTGGTCAAGACTCGATTGTGTACAGACCGCCGTTATATAGCTGGAATATTGCTGAGTGTGGCGTTAAACAAAGAAAGAAAGAAACAAAATAAAACCTCACATCCTTGATCACTTCATTCCTTTCTCCCACATCAAGATTTCATTCTTTGATATTACTGATATACTGGTCAAAGCGGAGTTAACCCAACTCACTCACACACACACCACAGGGCATTTATTGGTTCAAATACGGTACCCAGTCGACGTACCATGTAAGAACATGTATAATGACATTAATATGGAAAACAAAGACAACACCTATACTGTGTAGGAATACCACAGAGGATAGACACATCTAACAGCGATTGAGTGACCTTGAGAACACAACACAGTACGCAGGACACCGAGAGGCCAAGACCAGTCCTATCATGCCGATTGAATATATGACTCTCGTAATCTTAACATTTCCTTCTTTGATGAAACCAATAATTAATACACATTTGGAATCAAAGATAAATGCAAAAAGATTATGAAAAGATCATATTTTCAATCAAAAATAGCATTTTAATTTTTGTTATTTATTTTTCACTTTTGAACAGTCAAATATACACTTGTCCGTTACACAGATTCTTTAAATTTCCTGAACCTTAATTTAGGTGTGATGCAGGTCTTAGAAGTTTACCACTCTGGTGAAGACTGGCCATGATGCAGATAAACCAAGGATTATAATAAGCATGATAATGCCACTTAGGATTCAGCCCCATGATCAGTGGATCCTGCGAATATAAGGGAGACAACTCTATTTCTAGAACCGTAGACCACAGGCTGCACCTTTCCACTTCAAACAAAGATGGCCAACTGTAGGAACAAGTAATCAATTTTCTGTAGCCTCAATCTTAATTTAATCAGGACATGGCTGTCATAGAACTTTGCCTTGGGTGCCACAATTCATTATGCAGTTGAACCCGTGAAGATCCTGGGTAGAATAGGTCTTCAGCAACCCAAATGGCGACTATCCTTGTTGTAAGAGGCAACTCCTGGGATCAGGTGGTCAGGCTCGCTGACGTGGTTGATACATGTCATCTTATCCCAGTTGCGTAGATCAATGAGCGTGATTTACTGGCTTGTCAGGTTCAGACTCGATTATTTACAGATTGCCGTCATATAGATGGAATACTGCTAAGTGCAGCGTTAAACAACAAACAAACAAATAAACAAATATTATGCAGTGGTGTCCCTTGCATTGCCTGGAACCTGTGATCATGGCTTCAAATCCCAGTTCACCCTGATTATGTTTCTAAACAGCACCAATACATGTTCATGGGTTTCGCCAAAGTGGTAAACATTGCAGACCTGCATCAATTTGGGCTTCCTCCCACATCAAGAAAAGCTGACACGCCATCATAAATTGAAACACTGTTGAAAGTGGTGTTAAAATCCAACTCACTCACTCACTCACTCAATGAACTGAATCATACTTCAATCGTGCAACTGGTGTTACTCAACCCATGTTAAGTATGAATATCACAAGACAATGGCTTTTAGAAAGTGGCCAAATGTAATGTATGTAACATTTGTTACAAGTGAACACTTTCTGAAAGCCATTGTCTTGTCATATCTTCTGGCCATGGGAGCCATGCCAGTTAACACTTATCAGAGGGGTACACAATGTATGTGACTAGACTACCAGTTGTCGGACTTCCATTTTGGTGGAAGGCTTAGTGGCTGAGTGGGTTAGATCGCTGACTTTGTGTACTGGCAATCAGGTGCCTTACTTTGAAAGTGTGGGTTCGAATCCCGGATGGGTCTCACCCCAAAGAGGTGAAAGTGTAAACCCAAATATATTCATCATGTATTCATCATGTCAATCCTAACATAGCATCTAAATCAGTGGAATATTCAAGATATGATTTGTGTGTTTAAAAAAGGGATTTAGTATGTCTTTTTTTACAGATATACCATTGTGTACATTTATATTTAGAGACAGAAAATATTAGATATTAAAATAATTTCAAGTCAGAAAGTTGTTATAAATCACTCCAAGAATGCAATAAGCAGCACTGTAGTGAATCATCATGGCGTCTAAAAGCTTCACTCGAACAGAAGACCCCAGAACAACAACAGTAAACAAACAAACACACACAGAGGATTCAGAGTGTGAAAGTTGAGAGATGATATGTAGGAATATCACATATAGAGTTATATATATGTACATGGAACTTCACATTTAGTATGCATATATTTCTATACATAGTACGTGGAACTGGAATATATACAACTATACATATGGAAGATATACTGGTTGGTACAACATTAATGTATTATTAAGTTGAAAGATAAATATTTTGTTTATTTATTTGTTAGTACTTATGAAATCAATATACTCTAATTGGTTGTCGCTGAATACTGGATTTGTGTCATAAACTATTCTTGTTTGTTGTAGTTAGTTATGAGAAGTATTTATTTGTAACTGTGTACCAGAAACAAATTGTACAGTTTCTGCAAACTAAGGCAACAGTTAATTTCAACAGGTTTTTCAATACTTGGGATATTTTTACATAGTAATTACCATTAAATCTAATTATATGCATTGTAAGTAGTATGCAATCATTTTAATCATTTTTCATTTCAATTACATGTACTTTTTTTCTGTCCAAAAATAATGTTACATTGTATAGGTTTGTTTAAAAAGTATCTAAAATTTCAAAAAATGGTTTCTTTCTTGTTTTTTTTGCAATGTATCAAATCACAGTCCCCATTCAAAGAGATTCCTGGTTTCAACAGGAAAGTCAGGTATTCCTGGCATGTTCTGGGACTTCGGAACATGATAACCACAGTTTTCCTAGGAATTTCTAGGATAAATAAATATCCTAACACCACTCATCATTTAAAACATAAATATTCTTTCTGTGGAGTTCGGCATTTTTACCGGTATAAAAATTCCTTTCATTTGAAACCAATGTTTATCAAATTTGTTTCAAATGATTGTTGACAGGCAAATGTAATGCGATCCTACCTATTCCATGATACATGGTATCATTTTCTACCATATTTCCTTCTTGCATACTCTCGGTCGTATATTCCGCAGATGGCATAATGTCCGACGTGACATATGTCGCGTCTTCCGTAGTAACATTTCCCTCAAATATTTCTGCAGTTGTCTCGGGTTCAGGTTCGGGCATGCTTGTTGTGCTGTCTCCTGATAGTGGAAATGTAAAATCGGGACGATAAAATGTTGTCATCTCCTCGGAGACGCAATGATGTTAGTGTGCCAAGCGCCCTGATTAGCATGATGCTCATTCCACTGACCACCGATTTGTTGAGAGTGTTTTTGTCAAAATTGAATAATAAAACAGAATGTTAAAACCTACAATAAATAAATAAAAATAGATAATAAAAAAAGTAAATAAATAAATATTTTAAATAAATAAATAATATAAATATTTTTAATAAATAAATAAATAAATAAATAAATAAATAAATAAATAAATAAATAAATAAATAAAATAGCAAATGAACATATTTGTACCCATTTTATAATAAAAATCAAAAGTGAATACATAAATATGGCCATAGAACAGAATGAGTACCATTAAGGGTCATGTTTTGGTTAGTAATGAAATTATGAAATGTTTTGTGTCTGTATGAATGGAGGAAGGTGCTTTTGATAACAGAATTCCTTCAAACAAAACAAAACCTCTGTGTGTTAGAGAACATATTTGTCAGGGTTGTTTTAGTCAACAAGTGCAATTCATATTTCTTTCTTCATTCCTAGGTTAGGTTTTGGTAAAAAGTTTGCTTTTTTAAAAGTTTAAGAGATTGTGCAGATCCTCCAGCCTCCGGCTTCAGTTTGGTTATCGGAGGATGTGGATGGGGAAGTACAAACAAAAGGAAATATCAGTTGGTAGAGTAAGAGACAGACCATCCATAGGTATCACAGAAAGTTTCAGTTTCACAGAGGTTTCACAGAAAGTTTCACAGAAGTGTCACAGAAGTTTCACACAACGTCACATCACGAACTAACACCTAGACGGTTGGCAGGCAGGAGACATGTACAATGTGTTTGTGACAGAATCATACACGTCACGACAGCCTCTTAGATGCATTTTTTCAACTTGACCTTGAAATTCAATACAGTAAAACAACCTCAAATCTATTTCTTCTTTTATTGATTTTCTAACCCATTTAACACAATGTGTCTACTTGATCAATCTTCCGGAAATTTTAACTAATTAAATCTTCTCATTCCTAGGCTTTTAAAAAAGTTATAGTTTAATCAGAAAAATAGTTTCTTATTTTATGGCTTTTGTAAAGGTTTAAGATCATCAGTAAAAATGTGGAGCAAATGTGACCGACCTATAGAAAGTTGAAATATAGAAATATGAAATATAGATATGTGAAATATAGAAATATGATTACATGTCTGGATAAGTTTATGCATTTACACATACATTAGGTTCAAAGTGGTTTTCTGACAGCAGTTTGGGAATATATTTTACATCATATGACATTATATAACATATATACACATTCTTAGAATAATGTGAAAAGTAGAGATTATCTCTGAATATCTGTTCGTGATATGACGTACGACAAGATAATAATTATTGAGAGGTAAAGAAGACAGGATGAAGGTGAGGTTATATTATACAGAGCCATGCACAAGTAAAGACAATTAGATACTGTATACACATGGTTTGGAAGATTGTAAACACAGTGAGTGCATAAAACTTTGAAATCTTCCTCAGACGCCATCTTCCTCTCCATCTTGTTCCAATGAACTACCCTGGGAGGCAAGCGCCATTGTATCATTACTGTACATCTAACAATAAATACTTGTTCTATCTACAGGGGGTAGTTCAAGGATTTAGCTAATTAAGTGCCCTTGTCATGTAATTTGGGACAAAATCGTGATATTGTTCAAAATTTGATTATTTTTATGTGCTTACATTTGTATAATCTGATTAACTGGGAAATTGTTATTCAAATTTGGAATTTTGACTGACATTTGCTGCAGACTTGGGGCTGAATATTGGCCCCTGGGCAGGTCTAGATAAATCCCTGTAGTTATTTCTGAAGGTTCACAAACTTTTACAAAAACAGAAGCTGATGTTTCATATTGTGAAAAGTTATTCCTTTCAAATTTGTCAGCTTAAATCACTACACCGAACTGGACTAATTAAAAAATGTTTCAATTGAAATAAATAGATATTTGGTTGGTAAAGTGAATTTCTTTCAAACTAGAAGCTGTGTGTCTTAACCCATTTCAAAACATTTGACTATACAAAGAACTATGAATAACCCTGGCTTCCTGAATATTTTGGGGGATATAATTATGAAATTGTGTGCTCAGTCCTCACTACAAAAATATCCACCAAATTATTCATGATTCCAAACTGTTTTGGTTCAGTATATTTAAGGTTTCAGTTATATAGTGATCTTTGATGTTAAACACTTAAAATTACAACATAGGATGTAGGATTACATGAACCAAAAGTCATATAGATTTGAGTCAAATATTTTTTCAGCATAGGGGGGTGGTGGGTTGTCTAGTGGTTAAAGCGTTTGCTTGTCACGCCAAAGGCTCGGGTTCGATTCCCCACATGGATACAATGTGTGAAGCCCATTTCTGGTGTCCCCAGCCGTGATATTGCTGGAACATTGCTAAAAGGGGTGTAAAACTATACTCAAGCAATCAATCTTCTGCATTGTGAAATTATATTTTCAAAGTGGTATTCTTGCTTATTTCTTTCAGTAAGAGACAAGGTGGCAATTTCAATGTTGATATTGAAAGTTTGGTTGGCACCTTCCTATTTGAATCCTATCTGTCATTGTCATGACAGGTTGACAGGTTAACAATAGTCATATGAAAATACTGGGTGTTCTTTAACTTCTTTTGAGTAGAATACACTGACTGCACATGATCATGCAACAGAACATCTGTGCCTTGTTTCTGATTGGTTAATGTTCAAGTCGATACTGATGACATGCCCAGGGAGTTTACTGGAACATTGGAGAGGAGATCATCTTTGTACAATGAAGATTGTGCTTAGGAGAATTTATAAAAGGAACACAGAACCAAATCTTATAAAACTTGGGAATATAAACATTCAACGAGATCATAATGTGCCAAAACACTCAAAAGAAATACACAAAATAATCTTAAGTTCAAAATTGTCTGTGGCTTACAAAATGTTGGAAAAACTAAATTTAGCATTTAAACATTATCAAAGTCTACTAAGAAACGTTAACTTAAAGGTATCCAAATAATTAATGTATTTGAAAGAAGGTTTCATGAAAAAATGCCAAGGAATTTGTTAAATTAGCTTCAAAACAAAAAACACATTCAGAGAGAAGGACACACGACAGAGTCTTACCAACAACGGTCAAAGTCGCTTCGCCACTTCTTCGCGTCCCGGCAATATTTGAGGCCTCACATGAATATGATCCGGCATCCTTTTCCCCTACTTGCAAAATGACAATTGATTGTTCACGGGAGTACAGGAGGTTGTCATTGGCATTGAAATCCAACAGCTTTCCATTAAAAAACCATGATATCTGCAAATGATAAAATGAAATGATGAAATGTGTGATGGTTGAATGCGGGGGATGGAGTCATCCTTGATGCACACATACAGACATCAAAGTTTAATTTGTTCCTAAGGAGCCATTGGCTCCTAATAATTGTTTTCAGGGAGCAAATGTGAAATTCAAGAAGCCAGGTGAAAAATTAAGGAATGGTCAGTAATGTATAATACTGTTAAAGCAAATCTAATCTGACAAACAGCAGCGATACCGATTCATATGTTTGGTGTATCAACCTTTGTTCTTAATAATTATGTTGTTGTAAATACTTGACAAAATTATTGATAAATTTTTACCTCTTTTGACTTTTAGATTTTTTACAATGAAATTTTAGTTCAGTTGAACAGTATTTATTAATGTATCACATATCTGTCTCTAACATTAAGGAGTTCGTAATATCAGGTCACAGGCCCGATGTTTCCAAGTAGCCAAGTTTGAGCAGTCGTCAAGTGGAAATTTCAATCGACAAATTAGTTGCAACTTCCCCCACTTTTTTATAGGGTTCGAGGATCCAATATTTAAGTAATAAAACATATGAATAACATTAAAAGGAAGGGTACATAGAACTGCACCTACCACTGGTCGGGGAAAGCCATCGGGTGACACACATTGCAAGGTGACCATTGTATCCATTTTTACTGTCTTGCTTGAGGGCTCTAACACAAAGTCGTCCTGGAGGTCTGGAACAAGTTGATTATATAATGTAACAAGTAGTTACAGTAGTGTGTGTGTGTGGTGTGTGTGTGTGAGAGAGAGAGTGTGTGTGTGTGGTGTGTGTGTGTGTGAGAGAGAGTGTGTGTGTGTGGTGTGTGTTTGTGAGAGAGAGAGTGTGTGTGTGTGTGTGTGTGAGAGAGAGAGTGTGGTGTGTGTGTGTGTGTGTGTGTGTGTGAGTGAGTGTGTGAGTGAGAGAGTGTGTGTGTGAGAGAGAGTGTGTGTGTGTGGTGTGTGTGTGTGTGAGAGAGTGTGTGTGTGTGTGAGAGAGAGTGTGTGAGTGAGTGAGTGAGTGAGTGTGTATGGGTGTGTGGTGTGTGTGTGTGTGAGAGAGAGAGAGAGAGTGTGTGTGTGTGTGTGTATGTGTATGTGTATGTGTGTGTTACATATAGCTGGAGGAGAGGCGTGCGTGCATGCATGTACGCACGCGGTTGTGGACCTTGATGGAATTGAAAATAAGAATGGATAGATCTTGAAACAAGACAGCCACTGGAACTGAATATTATAATGTCTATTTCAGTTCAGTGCTGTCATTTACAATCGGTATAATTACCATACAAATATAAAAATAATTCAAACAACTGTCGATAACCACAATAATCCACCAACAATAAAGCCATGTTGTTGTTTTTTGTTTTTTGGATGATCAACTTCTTTATTGTTATTTTTTATATTAGGTGTAGATTACAAACTAGATTACAAAGATTTAAACTTACATGCAATTTCCACACGTCCACGGCGACTGTTTACAGACTGCTCTGGTTCGTTATCACTTAGTTTGTACCAAGCCAGGCATTCACAAGCATATTCCTCCGATATGTCAATGATACTGTCTGCCATAACGTCCATTGATGCTACTAAAACCATTTCCCCATCATCTGATTTCTCATTTCTGTATGTTATACGTTCTTCTGCTACTTCTTCGTTATTGCACAAGAAGGTAATCTTCCCAGTTTGCATAGCTGCGCAGGTAAGTGTTGCCTTTTCATCCACAACGAAGATGGTCTCATTCAGCTCCTGTGTAAAGGTTGGAACTTCCGATGATATGAACACTCCAACATCAGTACCATCAGTTGGCTCTGGTGTAGGTTCATCTCCTGCATTGTGGGAAAATTGTACGAATTAGAATCAAGGCAACCTTATATTTAATCATTTGGACTGTTGATTGTTGAAACAATAGTATAAATCTAATTGAATTGTTTTGAAAGTAATCTCATAAAACAAATAAGAAGGAAATGAAAAAAAATGTATTTTGTAACGAAAAGTCAAAGGGCTACACCCCTTCTTAGTTAGATTTTTCTTCATGAAATAAAAAGTAGCTATCAGACTGGATGGAAAAAAAATAGACTCTTCTCAAAAAGTTGATACTGTTTCATGTTTGTGTAATTGTGTGTTGGTTGATCTGTAACCCAAGCATTAAATATAATTACCTATCATCTAAACGAAAAACCTGTGCATTGCTTCTAGATTTGATATCAGACCCAAATTTTGTGCTATTGGTATATCAAATGTTAAAGTACAACTTCTGTCTAGGTGAGCTAAAATGAAGATCAATACCAATGGGGTAGATCCATTAAGACATACATTTTGTACTTGATGATTAAACACAGCACAGAATTAATGACAGGAAAATTTTATATGAAAAATCATACCCATGACTCGAATGACCCCAGACTTTGAATATCTTTTTCCGTAAACATTTTCAGCAACACAAGTATAGTTGCCGTCATTTGTCATTTGAGCTTCACTGATGATCAAACTTCCTTCACTGGACACTATGATGTTTTCATCCTCAGCATCAACAGCATCACCATCGAAGAGCCAGCTTACCTACACACACAACAACAACCTGTACTACAACTGGTTATATCAACAAAAACTGGCTCCAACAGGAAATATTGCTAAGGTGAAATAAAGAAACGTGACTCACCAGGAGAAAGGGTAACTTATGGGTGCAAGGATATGGTTATGCTGTGATGTCATATAATTAAAACAAATTCAAGCCATTTCAGCACACATATCTACTTTCAATTAATCAGGCATTACATAAAAAACTGCAATTATTACACAATCAGTTATTTATAAGTCTGAATATGGTACTTGGTGGAAAATGAGTCCAAATGTTTGATGCGATGTATCTCTCTAATAAAAATGAGCTGAAGCTTGTGAATTGTATCTTTGTGTTCATAAGATGCTGTAGTTTTAAAATATAATACGGAGTCGAAATGTGATTTTTCACCCATAAGGTCCCATATCTCATGGTTGTCACAAATATCTTTCAAGGGATATGAGACAAAGAAATTGCATCACATAAGTTACCATGATGTCACACTCAGATGAAATCATAAATCTCTCTGCCACTGTCGCTGTACTATGTACACTCAAGACACTGCTTAAAGTGAGTGAGTGAGTTTGGCTTAACGCCTCTTTTAACAGTATTCCAGTTATATCACGGCATGTCAGCTTAATGTGGGAGGCAATCCCAGAATGACGCAGGTCTCAGACGTTTATCACTTCGGTGAAACCCACGAGCACATATAGTGCTGACAAACCTAGAAACACAATTGATGCGAACCTGGATGCGAACCCACACCATGGGCCAATTGTGCATCTCAGATCACTGGGAAACCAGAACATCCGATTATAAACTAATTTTTTTTTATTTTGCTGATAAATACAATCTCACCCTTGTGTTAATTCATTAACAAAGTCAGTGAATCTAACCACCCGCTCCAGTTATTCGCCTTTTATGACAAGCATTGGTTGCTGAAGACCAATTCTAACTCCGATTTTCACAGGGACCCAAAATAAGAGGATTGTACAGTTAAAGCAGAGAATGACTGTCTTAACTTGCAGGGACTGAATGCTGGGACACTCACTGTGGGGGTTGGGTTGCCCACGGGGGGCATGCAGGCAAGCTGAACGGTGGAACCAGCATCTACTTTCTGTGACTTCGGGGGATCTTTCTGGAAACGCTTCTTCAGGTCTGGAAACAGGAACAGACCAAGGCTACAACCACAGCTGGACATGCATGAAAAGTTGAAAATATCTAAATCCTTTAAATTAATAACAAAGTGATTTTAGAGTTAAGATGATCACACTTTTCATACTCTAACTTGAATTATGACAGTATTAACACTGAGATCATTTTGTTGACCACAGCCCTGGCATTGTAGCACTAAGATCAGAGGGCCCATGGGCAAACGTCAAATGTACTTTATTTCTTTGCATTGAAATAGATATTATGTTTGAAATCAGCCAAGACTTTCACTAAAATCTATGTTCATTATAGCCATGTTTTACTTTTCCAAACTTTAATAATAAGTGAATTCAGATTCACTTTTAAAACTTCAAAATTAAAACTTTATTTGCCCAGTCAGAAAAAGAGGTAACATAATAAATAAGATTCATCAGGAGATGACATATCATATCATATCAGTGAATTGTTCCAGTGCAATTCAGAAATAAAGTTTGGCTACTTCTACCCCACTTTTGGTGCATTGCTATTAGATACCTTCAGTTCAGGGAAGAAAAAAATAATGCTGTTCAGTATTTCTTAATATATCTCAAATCATCAAATTCACCCCTAGACTGATCTGCATAGCAAGTTTTATCCTGAAATATGTAACAGGTTTGAAGCTCTGCTCCAGAACGAGCACTACCCTCGTTTTCAGTGTAAGTCCAACTTGTCGTCATGAAAATAAATTGAAATAATTGAAATCACAAATCATCAAAAACACCACTTTACCACTTGACCGATCTGTGGGAAGTTTCAATAAGAAATTTTCAATGATTTAGGAATTCTGCTCCGGAAACAGAAAACGGACGGAAGACAGATAGACAGACATGCTGATACCACGGCCATAGTTAACTTTCTTTGACAGTGGGGAGGGAGGCAAATATTTGTACAAGTATCACTTGTCCTCAACTTGTATTTTCATGATTCAAATAAAACTGTTTTCTATAAGAAAAATCCACGGGGGCGACTGCCCCACCCCTGCCCCGGCACTGCTATATTTTGATAACAAAACTAATGAAAACAGATATGCAATGTAGTGCACCTGAATGTACTTACAAGCAATCTCAACTCTTGTAGGCATATTTAGCATAGACCAGCCTTGCTTGACGGCGTCGGCGTACCAAGCACTACATTGGCATGTGTAGTTGTCTACTGCGTCCACTGTCTTGCGATCGAAGTTGACTGTTCTCTCAAGAATCTTTTTTCTGGTTTCAGGATCAATAGCAGAGTAGGTTTCGTTAAACTTTTCTGGGAGTCTGGCTCCGTTGCACTCAAAGATGAGGTATTCAGCACCAAGGGTGCGGCAGGTGATGCTGGCGGGGCGTTCACGGACAATGTAGTAGACTGGTTCTGGTTTTCGGATAAAGATTGGGATCGGTGAGCTGAGATCTACTTCTGTGGTTGTCTCTTCCATCATTTCTTGGGTTGTTTCTGGTTGAGGTGTGATGGTTGTCTCTGGCTCCATGACATCAGTAGAATCTCCTGAATCAGCATAAAGAGAGTTTATTATAACTGACCTAGGTAATCAAGTTTCATAATCTTGATCCCAATGGGAGAAGCAAGATGGCAGATAGCGGTAATATTCATAAAAACCAGATTTCGAACAAAGCATTATTGCTAAACACACTTGCTTTTTCAGTTGAACAACTGACTTGCCTTTGCATGTGTTTGTGATGGGTGCCGCAGGTAGAGAAGGATACCTTTAGTGCCAACATCTATATCATGCCTATTTGATAGTGATTCATAAACACATGCTCATAATACACAATGCACTCTGCTTTTGACAGATTTCTGGGATGAGTTTTTTTGCTATTTAAAAAAATTAATTGAATAATTGACAACTAAACCAGGAGATCTGCATAATCCATGCAGAGGATAACAACAGCAGGGCTGGAGGTGTTGCTTGTGGGCTACAGTTCATGTTGGTGCGACAGCTTTATGAATACACGTAGAGCATGAACTCTTCATGAACAGAGACCCACTCCACCGCCATCCCCAGCACAGTGGTTATGGATTCCAGTGCATGAGGAACACCTACTGTCCCAGAATGGGGTACTGACACTGATTTGTCTCATTTGGTTTAAACATATTTTTATTCATTGAAATGAGTTGGGATTGGTGAACAAGCTTTACAGCTTATGTTAACACCGCTCCCATACAACATATATCACATATTGAAATGAAGGATTTGTCTCATTTAAGCATGCATTCATTTAAGCACTACATCAATACCAAGTTAAAATGTCAACAGTTAACATCGAAGTTGTCCGATCTTAGGGGTATATGGTGTGGTGTGCCTTGTGTGTGAGGCAATGTACATATACATTAGGGCTGGGACAAGTCGTGATTTACTACGCGGGTACCCACCCACCTATTCCCTGACCCTACCCGGGTACCCACCCACCTATTACCTGACCCTACCCGGGTACCCACCCACCTATTACCCGACCCTACCCGGGTACCCACCCACCTATTACCCGACCCTACCCGGGTACCCACTGTTGGTCTCAAGAGATAGGTACAAAATGTCCGATTGGGAATAGTTTGACTGTAGCCCTGGACAAAATGTATTTAGATACACATATGAATCGATCTGGTCATGCATACACTGATGTTGACTGAAGTTTTATCTTTATTCAAACATATAAAAGTCTTGGTGCATAGTCAGAAAGAAATGCGAACGTTAGTGACTTGTAGTGTAACCATGTAGTTCAAGATCATTTTTGTCATTAAACAATATATCACATGACCAACCACGGGTCCGGGTTGTTCTGTGGGTACCCGGGTCCTTCTCAGTACCCACCCGAGTGACCCGTCCCAACCCTAATATACACCATATACCCTGAGGGATCAGTTGACAATGAATGTTCAGTCATAATTTTGTCTGCAGTTTAACCAAGTCAGCAAAACTCGTAGCTGACGACGAAAACAAAATGAGTTACTTCCCCTTACCCAATGCATTTGGATGAACATCAGTTCATTTCAACTCAACGATACTTGTTCAAGATATACAAGTAACCAAGGATGTGTTCAGATTGATTTCTCAGCACGTTACATGAGTGAGCTACATGAGGGGGCTACTTGAAAAAAATTGCCAGCTCTTTAACCAATGAGAGGCTAGTATTTTAATGTAAGGTGAAATAAATAGTCTCAATCGTCTACTTTTCCTTGGGCCAAAGTTTCAGACCTGCATCCATCTTACCACAAAAAGGTGTCACTGTTACAGTTGAAATACTGTTACACGTGACATTAAACCCAACTCACTCACTCACTCCACCACTCACCTATCACAGACAGTAGAGCTGCTGATGATGCAGTGGCCGATGCAGTGTTTTCAGCGACGCAGGTGTAGGCACCGATGTCCTCTCTCTGAACAGTGAAGATTGTCAGGCTGCCGTCGGCAACAAGCTCATAATTCTCATTGGATGTGTCCACCCTCTGGCCATCTTTTGTCCAGTACACCTGTCAAAAGAAAGCACTTGTTCTGAAGACATGTTTGTTCATAAAAAATGTGCTCCAAAACGCACCTGGAGGTTATAGAGCTTTTGCTGACCAAAGGAATAAATAATTTTTAATAGATCAAATAATAAATCCTATAAAAAAAATAATAAATTAAATGGGTACTATTTCCCTATTTTCCCAGCTTCTTAAATATATGGTCTCTGTGGTGACACTGGGGAACAGGTTCTCAGTGTTCTATTGCTGGTCGTAAGAGGCAACTCAATTGTACAGCGTGGTCAGACTCAGTGACTGGTTATTTGTGTGTCACTCTACCCTGTAGGTGTTTGCTTTATGAAAAAAGCATAGTACATGTATAAGGCTTAAAAAGATAAAAGAATTGGTTCTCAGGCAATGGTTTTTGAAAATATAGTGCAGGCGGGCAGTGTCTTTTTTTTTTTAGGTTGTACAAACTGGTATGTAACCACTAAACAGCTGTGTAATCAATAAAACAGTGTGTGTACAATCAACCTGGGAAAAGGCCTCCCTACATAAATGTATTCCTTGATGAGTAAAATACTGGAATACAAGTTGGATTTTTTAAATAGTTATTTTAAAAATTGAAATAAAAATGAAACATAGTTTATGATGATGGGGATGGTGCCTGTGAGCCAAGACTATTATTCTTTTTAGCCTAACTGATCATTCATTAAGGCTGCCTTGAACTAGAATTATACTACTCAAAAGAATGAAAGGACCACCCGATTCTGTATAGTTAATCTGTCATGGCATGAATAGTATATGTACAGATGACTGTGGCATAAAGCAACAAACAAAGACAAGAAATAAATCACAATGGTCATTAGGGGGAAAAAAACACATTTTAATTGCTTTCAGAACATTGGCACATATACTGTTCATGACAAGGACTTCAACAAGTAACAATATGTCAGTGCTGCTCCTTGCCGCGTCATTGTTGAATACGGATAGTCTATTTTTGGTTATTGGAGGTATTGTTCCAGGTTGAACACTATATAGGGTGAACACTGCTTGAGGGTGCATGAATAGTGTTCTCCTAAGGCGACACTGTTTCAGAGTGAAAACTGCTTTAGGGTGAATACTGCTATAGAATAAAACTGTTCTAGGGTAAAAACTGTTCTAGGGTAAACACTGTTCTAGGGTGAAAACTGTTCCAGGGTAAACACTGTTCTAGGGTAAACACTGTTCTAGGGTGAATATTGTTCTAAGGTGAATACTGTTCTAGGGTGAAAACTGTTCTAGGGTAAACACTGTTCTAGGGTGAAAACTGTTCTAGGGTAAACACTGTTCTAGGGTAAACACTGTTCTAGGGTGAAAACTGTTCTAGGGTGAAAACTGTTCTAGGGTAAACACTGTTCTAGGGTAAACACTGTTCTAGGGTGAATACTGTTCTAGGGTGAAAACTGTTCTAGGGTAAACACTGTTCTAGGGTAAACACTGTTCTAAGGTGAATACTGTTCTAGGGTGAAAACTGTTCTAGGGTAAACACTGTTCTTGGGTGAATATTGTTCTAAGGTGAATACTGTTCTAGGGTAAACACTGTTCTAGGGTAAAAACTGTTCTAGGGTGAATACTGTTCTAGGGTGAAAACTGTTCTAGGGTGAATACTGTTCTAGGGTGAAAACTGTTCTAGGGTAAACACTGTTCTAGGGTGAATATTGTTCTAAGGTGAATACTGTTCTAGGGTGAAAACTGTTCTAGGGTAAACACTGTTCTAGGGTGAATATTGTTCTAAGGTGAATACTGTTCTAGGGTGAAAACTGTTCTAGGGTGAAAACTGTTCTGGTGTAAACACTGTTCTAGGGTGAATACTGTCCTAGGGTGAATACTGTTCTAGGGTGAAAACTGTTCTAGGGTGAACACTGTTCTAGGGTGAATACTGTTAAGGGTGAAAACTGTTCTAGGGTAAACACTGTTCTAGGGTGAATACTGTTCTCAGTTAGAAGTAATGCCTCCTCACCTGGGGGTCAGGCCCTCCTTGAGGGGGTACACAGTCAAACACGGCTGTGCGTCCCACCATCACTTCGACGTTCTGTGGTTCAACCAGGAAGGCTTTGTCTAAGACTGAAAGGAAAATCAGGTGATAAGTCAGCTTGAATAACAAGGCAGTCCCAAGTATTCCAGCGCTCTCACAGCAGCCTGTCTATATTTGAGTATGGTACAAACAAACCAGTGGTCGACAGCATGAACATTTCTCACTGTGGACACACAATCAGTCAGGTCACTGTAACCATCCGATCCTCAATAGACGGCTTGTGTGACACACAAATCTCTATTGGCATAATAAGGTAAACCCCAGAGTGAGTGAGTTAGTGAGTATTGTTTTCCATCACTTTTTGCAATATTCCAGCAATATCACGATATTTTAGTTTTTTATTACTTGGTTTAAAAAACTTTCAATGGAGGTATATAAATCTCTTATTAAATTTTCATTTCCCGAATAGTACTGCTTATAATGAATGACAAACACTATCCCGGAAGTACGATTGTGAAATGATACCGAAAGATAACTGATTTGTTTCTTTTATGAGAATAAAGATTGGTGATATGAATGATATTAATGGTATTAATCACCATTTCTTATGAACAGAGGTGTTAAAATCTTGTGTGTGTTTTTCCCATTTCACCTAAATGTAAAACAGAGTCCGACACCTTTTTGTTGTGTCAAAACTCATTTTAATTTCTTTTAATTTTATCTTTCTTCTATTGTAAACCAACTTTTAAGAATATAAGTCATTTTAACTTTCTTATTAAGTGAAATACTGTATTACTTACATGCTTCTTTGATTACTGATCTCTGGCCTTCAATGGTTGACCACGCACCATCCTTTGCAACCCATCCCATACACATACAAGAGAATTCTGCAGAAGCTCCGCGGACTTCTTGCAGTCGGACCTGGACAGTGCCTGTGATGCTTTTTTCGCCATTGATCACATCCTCCTTAGTGGTAACTCGGTCTGCAGCTAGGCGGTTGCCGTTGCAGCGGACGGTGAGGAGATTGGCACCGATGAAGGTGCAGGAGAGCTCTGCTGGGCGTCGCCTTGCTGCGTAGTACACTTCTTCCAGGTCCTGGTTGAAGTAGGCGGTACCAGATGGAGGGGTTGTCATCAGGGTCGTGGGGAAGTCGGTAGTTTCTTTACTGCTGTCAACCATCTCAGCATCCTCTGAAACACATACAGATCCAAGTGAACTATATGACTTATTCACCTGAAACAGTACAGCCCGTCATCGCCCATGAAGGAATGAGTGTGAGTGGGATGTCTTACTGATTGATAGATGCCTATATTCCAGGTAATGGCCGAAACAACAAATCATTCCCACAGAAGATTGATTTGAAACTGATGGAGATTCTTTGTCAATGCTTCTGTAAGCTTTAAGGGACAGACCATTTGATATTGTGAGTGGGTGTGTGTGGTGTGGGGGTGGTGTGGGGGTGGTTAACCATACTATTCAGATGACCTACAGGCACATACTAATGCATACACTGTACCTCTGTATCACGGTAATGATAAATATTCATTGCTACTTGATACACACCAACTCTGTACAGCATTCTAACAAACACAAAATACAATCAATACATAGAATAGGTTTTCGACAATGTCCCAAAATAGTACTGGCTATAAACCGGTATTCAACAGTCTAAGAAACAAAGACAGCTACTGAACAAAAGTTTCTGTCAGCACAGGCATTCAAATATGTTTTGCATAAATACTGAGGACTAACACTAAAATCTACACTCAACCAGGTTAGCTGAACATTTGATAGGGAATTTTACCTGACAATTTCAAGGTAGCGGTTGTTCTCCGGGTGCCGGCAACATTTTGCGCTACACAGCTTATCTGCCCCTCGTATCGGGAGGACACTTGTTTAATCATAAGAGAATTGTCAGTAATCTCTACAGAAGCGCTGGCACCAAGCTGTTGGTTGTTTAGTGTCCAGATAATCTGAAATGAAAAGGTATATACAAATTAATGATCATTATCAGGGCTCCGAGCCGAAAGGCTTGGAGCCCTATTGTAATCGGCCGATTTATTTATTATTATTATTCCACCGCCAATTGGCTTGATTTAGTTGAAATTTTGTATGTGCATGTAGACGGTTGAGTTCTAGATACAAAAAAAAATCCCAAAGACCAAGGGCAGATAACTTTTACAAAGCTGAGCAACATTAGGAATAAAACTTGGTATGGTTTCCTGAAGCAACCATAAAATAATCTGAAGTGAACACAATGAGTGCGACTTGATCGAGTGTTCATCAAAAGCCATGAAGGAATAACAAGGGTTGCGTAACAGGGCTGGGCTGGGTAACTCGGGTACCCGGGTCGGGTGGGTCCTGAGTAGGACCCGGGTACCCACAGGACTACCCGGACACGTGGTTAGTCATGTGATATATAGTTTCATGACAAAAACTATCTAGAACTATGTGGTTACACTACAAGTCACTAATGTTCTCATTTCTTTCCGACTATGCACCCATTCCTTCTGACTTTTCATATGGTTGAATAAAGATATAACTTAAGTCAACTTCAGTGTATGCATGACTAGATTGTTTAATACATGTATCTAAACACGTTTTGCAAGTGCTGTCCCATTAGGACATTTTGTATCTCTTGAGACCCACAGTGGGTACCCGGGTAGGGTCGGATAATAGTGGGGTGGGTACCCGGGCAGTAAATTTGGACTCGTCACAGCCCTAATGCGTAAACATCTGTTGTCATAACTGAATTTGCCTGTTCATATCAATTCATATCTACTTGTATACACAATTTATAATATGTATTATCACCAGCATTTCATGTGTTATTAGAAAGGTGAATTCATTATAATATTTGGGTATTTGAACTACATAATGGGAGTTAAAATTACTGCCAGATCTTAGAGACTGACACTGACAATCAACATCTGACAAGTGAGCACCCAACCATATATCCATATACAATATATATAAGGCTAAACCCAGTCTCATTCAAATCAGATCTTAGTTCTCGCTACCGCTAAACAAAGATCTGAGGACATCCCATAAGGGGTCACGTCAGAGCAACCTTTCATCTGACCAATCAGAGCGTCGCTTACCAGATCATGAAAGTGACAGTCGGAATGTGATTTCTTATCATGCAACCTCGAAAACTTTAACACGGGGTATTCCGAACGATAGTTACGGGCTTAACGACGGAATCCATACAATCTAGACCATCTATTAGCCATTCCAGAATGTTCTTTTGTTCAGGTTTCAATTTTGTTATCGAGAATTTGTCAAAATATGTTTCGAAGCGTAATCGCCAATTTGAAATTAGTGCCGTAAAGCATGAGAAAGCTGCCTTCTGATTGGTTAATGTCGACTTCTTGTGAGTCATTCCATTGGTCGGTCAAAGTTCGCGCAAGGTCGGTCTGACGTGACCCGTAAGGGGATGTCCTCAGATCTTTGTTTAGCGGTAGCGAGAACTGAGATTTGATTTTAGTGAGATTGGGCTAAACCAGAAATAATTTATCATCTTTTATCCTGAATCCTTAATTGCCTGAGTTGTACTATGTTATCCACAATTTATAAATGTTGTATGGTAGATATTTCCAAGCAACTCAATGCCAACATAAATATTTCATAACCAATCATCCACATCTGCCAGGAAAAGTTACTTACACAAGTTTATTAATTAGGTGTATACCGTATATATCGCTGTGTATAAGGCGAGTTTTTCATACCTAAAATGAGGGGGTTAAGAAGGAGGGTCTTATACACGGAGTCGAATATCTCACATTTTTTTCAGTTGTTTCACTTTCAGCTTCCACTGGCGATGTCAACCGGCGTCTGATAGCCAGCCCAGCATTTGACAATAAAACTTTGCATTTCGTCCTAAATAACTGTTCCAATAACTGTTTCCATACATAAACATGATTTGTATCTGTTTTCCTTGAATAAAGTTTAATAATTTCTGCAAATAAAGTTGAAATGACCCTCGCCTCGATGCAGATTGTCAAACCAGCTGACACGGTAAAACAATCAACATCCGTGAGTAGAGAGCCGGAAGTACCGGTAAGCATTTGCATATTGCATATGTGACCTAACATGTGATAACCGGTGAAGCTGAAATCAATTCCCGCATTAAGTTTATTAATTAATTGATTAATACCAGCTAATCAGAGTTAATGAGTAAGTGTAGCTTAATTCTGCAATCAGCAATAAACAAACCATATCCCAATGATCTGTAAACAACCAAATCTGGACCAGACAAACCAGTGATAAAAAGCATGAACAAAAACAAGCAAGCTACCAAACAGAGTCTGACTACCCGATCTATCCTAGCTGACTCATACAAGAGGAACAGGCTACTGGGACCAATTCTTCCCAGGAATACCAATGAGGACCAACCTCACGCTCTGCATGTATGTGACAGAGTACTGACCCTTGGTGCTGGGACTCCTCTGGGCGCCTGACAGCGGAATGTAACAGTTGAACCTGGCGCCACCGTCATGTCCTGGAGCTCGGAGCCAAAACGTTCATCAAGTTCTGAAATTGATTACCGAAACTTGTATACTGTTCACAAGTAATACCTGCATCTTGATGATGGTGGGTTGTTAGAACAGTTCATTAAAACAGTTTTAGGCATCAAATGCAGGACATTCTGAAGCAGTATGACGCATATGATAGTCAACCATACACCAGAATTCTGAGCATGTCCGACCAAATAACCTGAAGATATAAACAATCAAGTTTTCACTTCAAGTTCAATTTTCAGCCCTTTTGCTCTTTAAATACTATTGCATTATTTACTACTGAAGCTAAGGATAAACAGATATAAAATAGTTTCATATAAATGCTTCATAAACAGATAATCCCATCAACATCACTCAAAATAAGTTTAGAACAGATGTTTTATCTACTTATATCAAGGCAGTGGTATAAAATTTGAGAACAAATTGGCCACATTGGCAACAAAAACTACATCATTGTACAACATAGCTATACTGTCCACAAAACCTACATCCTTGATCATATATACAGCACAATTCTTTTTATAAAAGGGAAAATTTGTTTTAAGAAATCAATAGCAGGAAACATGCTCAAATGGATATGGGTGGACTTGAAAGCACCTCAGTGATTTAGGACTGGCAAGAGATGACAAACTCAAAACAATGCAGATGGCCCTATAACAACATCACTAATATCAGTCCATTACCTCCCAACATTACATTTCCAGGAGTTGTTTCTTTGCCGGACCAGCCAGCATCGGTCATGAACCAGGCATAACACAGGCAGGAGTAGTCTGTTCCCTTGGTGACAGCATCTGCTGGGACCTTGTAGATGGACGTGATGAGCCTCTCAGGGCCTCCCCGAGGGTTGGTCACATCCTTTTCTATCAGCTTCTCATCAATCCGGGCACCATTACACCTGTCAAAGGATGTCGAATATGTCAAAAATACAAATTATTATTTAGACACAGATTTGATATTGTAATGTTCAGTGAATGTGTCAATCCCAAACCGGCATGTTTTCCAAGTTTGTTGTCTGACCCTGGGACGTTCCACATGGTGATCTTAGTTCTACGTAAGTCTATAATCTTGGACGTGACTTTAAACCCCATTTCATCTGACCTATGTTAAAGTCTGCCAGTTACTATCGTCTTAGCACTCAGATCGCTTTGTGGAAGGAGGCCCTGGTCATTTTGGGCATAATCCTGTGAATCTTACCAATTTCTAGTAAATTTGTGGTATGAACTTGACATTTTCAGTAGTATAATCCTGTTAATATTTGGGAATGGTTCTATCGAATGGGCAGCATGATCATGCCAAATTTGTTGACTCAACACAATCCGTCATAGTATTATCAAGAGGGTATTGTTGTCCTTTGATGAAACATAGGACATCCACACAATATATTGTGGTATGAACACAAACCAAGTCATATTACAGGAGCTATCTGTGTGATTACCGTATTTGACGTAATAAGCGCCCAGGGCTCTCTCAAAATAGGAAATAGGGGGCTCTTATTAGAAAATATTTTTGGTGAGAGAAAAAAAGTTGGAAGATTTCGTGGTTTATGCTGACAGCCTGAAATGATACAAAAGAAGAATCTGTGCGTATTATACACAATAGATATAGTTTCCAGAATGTAATTGCCCAGAATTAAGGGTGCATATAACACACGTGTGCAAATTGTACACAAATAAATAAGTTTTGTGTACATTGATCAATCGGAAAGGGTGCTAACTGGGGTTGTTCACTAGCCAATATATTAACAAATGTCGCCCTGGGTGGTTATTACGTGGAATACGGTACTTGTTATCAATACACTGATTGTGTGACACGCTCAAGGTGAACATGTCGATCTGGCAGGATCATGATTGACGCTAGGCATTATCCAACACCTCTCATGCACATTGGCAAAGTTTTACGTAATCTTTGCTGACTACCAACAAACATTATGAAAAATGTTAACATTGTCCTTTTATTCGATTTGTGTAGTCGTATCTGGTTATATTTTTCTATTTCATGAAAGATGGAAGGTCAAACATAATAACTTTTAAACTGGACTGGCAAATAAATTTATAAAAAAAACAATCTTTATTTATTTTTTTCATGGCTTTGTATAGTCAAATTAATAATATGAAAAATTGATAAAGCATTGCTTGAGCAATTAAAGTAATATTATGGTATCTTGTCTTTTAAAATAAGCCAAGTTTTTTTGCAATCCATGTGTTTTCAACATTGATTTTCACTGCATAATCAACTTAGTTCACCTGAACTCCAGAAACTCTGCTCCTTTGACAGAACAAGTAACGGCTGCTGGTGTGTCCTTCGTTGTGTAGTACTCAGCTTCTGGGACCTGGAGGAAGGAAGCTATCTCTTCATCTGCCTCATCAGCCATCAGCAGATTTGTCTCCCCTGCCACAATGTAGTCTGAAAGGAAGGTACAGTTCCAGTGCTGAATCTGGTATGCTGACAATGAAGCTTTGCAGATCGCTCTTGCCTACATCTTCCAAAGACAAGAGAGTTAACTAACTTTAAAAGTCCAATTTCCACCCTTGCCGAACTAGGTTTGAATTCCCGGCCTTGATTGTAGCGCCACCAGTGGCTGTTACGAGCTATGTCCCTTCTATGCCTCTCCTATGGAACCAATCAGATTCCACCTCTCGTATCACTTGTCTCGCAATTGTTTCAAACAAAATGGCGGCACCCAGACAAGACGATCTGATTAACAATCAAGATCTATTTTGTGATAAAACATGTCTGACATCGCGAAGTGCATCAAATCACGTGAGCATCTTGATTAAAAACTTGAAAAGATTTGGAAAATATCTGTTGACAACGAGTTGGCGATGCACATGTTTTGCAAATCCTGCAATCGACCGAACTCTGCATGACAGTTAACGAACCGGATTTTGATTTTGGTTCGCGATTTTGATTGGCCTATGCATAGACTCGTTGTCAAGCCAAAATGTAAATCCATAATGTCAGCCTAGATTGGCAAGGGTGGAAACTGGACTTTTATAGTCAGTTAACTCCCTTGCCTCGGGAAGATGTCTTGCACATAGCATTCTATGAGACAGTTGTCTCTTCCCTGACATCTTGAACTCTGTTGAATAGCCTATACATATGACCTTTAACGTTAGTCAATTCTGTAGGGAAGTTAAATTCATAACCAATATGCATATACTGAGCAAAAGAAGGTCGGGATCATAATGTTTTTGCGGATATTTTTGTATGTTGAAGACTGAGCACACAATGTCATAAAAATATCCCCCAAATATTCAGGATAACTTTTTTTGTAGAGGATACATCAACAAAATAGCCCATAAGTAGTTGCCCTGCCATGGATTGTATGGAATAATTCCAAATATGACATCAAATCTAACTTACTCACTCACTTAAACAAAACTTCTTAATAATATAATATATGTCACATGATCTGACCTTGAACTTTGACCTACCTTGAAGAGTAAGTGAAGCAACATTGCTTTCAACTTTGCCAGCCAGATTCTTAGCTACACAAGAATAATCGCCTTCGTCTGTCATCTGGAAGTTCTGTATGACTAGTGACCTTGACTCTGTGATGAGCAAGTTGTCATCCTTGTCAGGGTGAAGGCGATGGCCATTCTTTTTCCATATGATCTGAATGTAAGAAAGGCAAGTTTCATCATAAACATCAACAAAGAATGTGTCTTTAAACATTGTTATTTCTTTATAAAAAAAATATTAACAACATTTAGTCTTATGAAACAATTTGAATAAGTTTCCATTCTTGTAATGCTATATTTTTGTTGGTTGGTTTGTTGTTAAACGCCGCACTCAGCAATACTCCAGCTATATGATGTCAGTCCGTAAATAATCAAGTCTGGACCAAACAATCCAGTGATTAACATCATGAGCATCAATCCACACAATTGGGATTGATGATATGCATCAACCAAGTCAGTGAGTCTGACCACCCGATCCCATTAGTCGGATCTTACGACAAGCATAGTTGCCTTTAACAGCAAGCATGGGTTGCTGAAGACTTATTCTATTCTGGATCTTCACGGGTCTAATGCTGTATAGATGGATGTATCCTTAACATATATTGTAGTCAGATATAATACAATAATTGGCCATGATGGTGTCACTCATGACATCACTTATTAATTGACCAGGTTTTTTTGTTACTTGGCAAATTAACACACCTACGAAGGTTGATTTATAAGTTCTGAGCCCACATAGATTTGACTGAAAGATTTGATATACTTTGAACAATGATGTTGGAGAGATTTTATCACAGCTTCATTCTACTGGCTGTTCAACAATGTTGACAGTTGCTATTAAGTTAATGTTTGAATCAAAATGATTTATGGCTGGAGCTTTCTTCATGTTTAGGAACAGATGGAACTCACCTAAGAAGGTTATATACACATGACATGGTGAATAAACTCACCTAAGAAGGGTATACACATTACATGGTGTTTAAACTCACCTAAGAAGTGTATACACATTACATGGTGTATCAACTCACCTAAGGGTATACACATTACATGGTGAATAAACTCACCTAAGAAGGGTATACACATTCCATTGTGAATAAACTCACCTAAGAAGGGTATACACATTACATGGTGAATATACTCACCTAATAAGGGTATACACATTCCATTGTGAATAAACTCACCTAAGAAGGGTATACACATTACATGGTGAATATACACACCTAAGAAGGGTGTACACATTACATGGTGAATATACTCACCTAAGAAGGGTATACACATTAGAGGTGTATAAACTCACTTAAGAAGGGTATACACATTACATGGTGAATATACTCACCTAAGAAGGGTATACATATTACATGGTGAATATACTCACCTGAGAAGGGTATACACATTACATGGTGAATATACTCACCTAAGAAGGGTATACACATTACATGGTGTATAAACTCACCTAAGAAGGGTATACACATTACATGGTGAATATACTCACCTAAGAAGGGTATACACATTACATGGTGAATATACTGACCTAAGAAGGGTATACACATTACATGGTGTATAAACTCACCTAAGAAGGGTATACACATTACATGGTGAATATACTCACCTAAGAAGGGTATACACATTACATGGTGTATAAACTCACCTAAGAAGGGTATACACATTACATGGTGTATAAACTCACTTAAGAAGGGTATACACATTACATGGTGAATATACTGACCTTCGGTTCTGGGTGACCTTCAGGGGGAATGCAGATCAACTCAACAGAAGAATCCTCTTCCACAGACTGACTTAGGGGTTCTTCAACAAAATATTTTCCTAAATCTGAAAAGTAATGTCATTTAAAATAAATTATCACATAATAAATAATAATGAAATCATGAAAACAAATCTGGCCACAAAATTATTGTGAAACCACAAGTAATATCTGTTACCCCAAGTCATGATGTTGGAAGCACCTCAACAGGTACAGCATGGGATGGGTGAGTGAGTGAGTGAGTGAGTGAGTGAGTGACATGCTTTTAACATGCTGCTTTTACCAATATTCCGACACCAGAAATGGGCTTCACACATTGTACCCAGGTGTAATCAGTGTGATGAGCTAACACAATAACCACCAGCCTACCCCACCTCCCCCTTATCCTTGCATAGGCCATGATGCAACCACAGTGAGCTGGTTTAACATAGTTTTGAATAGTATTTCAATTACAGCTGTGTGTGTTAGCTTGATGGGAGGAAGAGTGATGCAGGTCAAAAACATAAGTAAGAAGCTGACAAACCTAGACACACAATCACAGGGATTCAAACCCATGGTCACTGGATTCTTGTAATCTAAGGGACATAACTCTGCAAATTGTGGCACCATAGAGGACTACAAATAGTGAAAAGTCAAAATAAAAATTTGATCATAACACGAATTGTGTAGCTTCTCCCAAAATGAGAAAAGAAGTTTTCCATTTTATTAGAGCTAGACAAAAAATGAAAAGAAGCCTTTTAAAACAAACATTCCCAGGATAAAAGTGCTTGACCTGATTGATGACCATTAACCCTGTTTCCCAAGCCTTTCACTCGTCCATGACAATATTAAGACATTAGTGCTATTATATACAAAGGCATGGTTGAAGGAGATGGTTCCTTTGACCCAGAAAATTGGTTCACCAGGTCGGGCAACCCAAACCTAAGCTCCCGTAAACTCCTTACCATAAACTGACTACCTGTGCAAGTGATATGACAGAACTCCTTTGAAATCTGACCATTGGCATTATGAGTTTCCACCCCATCAAATAATAACACAGGCGCCTAAGTGTTGCTAAACTGGTACTTAGTGTGCCGTGCGCTTGATGTCGGTTGATGGTAAGACTTATACGAGCTGCTCGTCCGTCAATATTTGTTTTGCTTGCAGATAATGTTAAAACGTTGTACAGCGTGTTGACTGCATCGCAGTGTTAGGGCGACATCAATTGTGTCCGCTTATTTCTCTTGAATATTGATTATATGAACACGATTATATACATGGCCAGACTTATGAAGATTTTTGTATCTTGAGCTGAATAGATTCAGACATGCATCAAACCCGGCTTTATGTCACCGGACAAATATCCGTTAAATTACGCCCTCACGACTGGAGCTGTTAATTTGTATAGGACTAGACAGCGGATGACGTTCTATAGACAGAACCTAGTACATATTGCGTGGTGGAAACATAAAACACGAAATGTTGGAAATTGTTAAATTTGTAACCATTTGTTGAACTTATTTCATCCAGCTGTATATTAAGTATAACATAAGATACACATATTCAGAATATGTTTTTATATATGATTATCATTGTTTACTAATATTTTTGTAAATTTCAGTTTTCTACTTTGGCACCCATCAAAGTATTCATACTCTACATCCACCACCGTGTGTATCCACAATATTGACCAGTTCATCTTGTCCACACTTGATTACATACAGGCCGCTGTGTTTGTTTGTTTGTTGCTTAACGCCGTAATATTCCAGCTATATGACGGCGGTCTCTAAATAATTGAGTCTGGACCAGACAATCGAGTGATTTACACAAATCTACGCATTTGGGATACGATGTCATGCATCAACCAAGTCAGCGAGCCTGTCTGGTCCAGACTCGATTATTTACAGACCGCCGTCATATAGCTGGAATATTGCTGAGTGCGGCGTTAAACAACAAACAACAAACAAAACCTATCCATCAAAACTTCAGGAGTAAAAATTATGTACTCGCTAACGTGTGTGGGCATTGTTCATCACGGGGCATAGCAATGTTTTGGAAATAGGAGTAAACATCAGTTTTGCAGATTCTATATGAGTTCAGTTTTTTCTGATACCAGCAGTAGCTGCCAGATAGAACCCATATAAACCATGACTAACTGTGGCATATGCCGGGGCCAGCAGGTATGAGGGAGTACTGTGAGATGGAGTCACACGTACACTGTGTTCCGACTGCTCACAATACCTAAGTGTGTTGATGCAGTGCCGACTTTCAAGAACTGATGAGATCCTGATGCGAGGTGAAGACAATTGGCAATGGAACCAGCTGTAGATTGTTCTGCCTACTGTATTGATAAAGGATTGAGAATTACACTAGTCTTATATTCTATGATTAAGGGGTTTTTTTATAGTTTGTACATTTCGCATTTTTCAAGATGTTCTTCCTGCGGTGGAAATTCTTGAAAGTAGTATTAGGAGCATCTTCGGTCAAGGGGCTATCCTTGAAAGGAATTGTATTACAGAAAGGTCTTACTTGTAAGGTCCTGCTGGCAACACTGATGCCATAGCTATGACAGAATGTCCTCATGATAATGCCAATACTTATTAATATCAGCGTTCAGTATCGCCATTTCTTAGTATCGACTCAGAGAATCACAAATACGAACGCACCCTACAGATCAAGAGCATTATATTTCACAGTCATCCACGATCTTAGCACTCTATCATCATATCTGAACTCATTACTCGGATTTACAAAGTGCTGTATGCCGTTACGAAACCATAACCATTTATTATCATGTTGCAAGGACTAAAATACCCTGGCAAATTACAGCAACACAAGTAGAGGCAGAATGCTGAGGGGGAGATTGTACCTGGCAGTTCGCCATGCTGACAGAAGTATTTTGCCACAGGTCTACATGCCATACTGGCGGGTTTGCCTTCACGAACGAGACTAACAGGGATCATTATTGTTGAAACGGCACACGGCCGCATGGTTATGATATCAAACGCGGCCATGTTGGTATCCGAGTCGGGCATGTCAGTACTGTACAAACGCAGATCCGTGGAATGGCCAATGGCAACCACTTCTGGTCGTCTGCTCATCGCGTCAGCTACATTTGAGAATCCAGCCTAGTCTACACCGACCCTGAAGCTACATGCCACCACGTGGTGTTGTTGATCCCCAAACGTTTATTTGCACCACCTAAGCACGATTTCTGCTTAGCTTGTACACGTCCACATAGCCTACACACCTGATGTACATCTACGTTTCTGGATACTTACAGTGTGCCAATGACATTTCAGAAAATTGACTAATCTTAAGGACTACTTCCTATAGTCGACCGTCTCAAGGTTACACCTGTCACTTAACCTTATGGCCAGCGACGTCATTGTCAAAATAATTGAGAGAAAACGTTTTTCATGACGTTCATGTAAATTTTCTAAGGCCAACTGTATGGTGACCTTGACCTTCGCTCACTAACAGTGCATGTTTATGAACTTGTGCTTTCCATTTCTTTGATCTGTGATTTTTCTCTTGGTATTATATCCACGTAAAAGACGTTTTCATGGATATCCAAGCCCCTTCATCCAACCTGCATCTATATCACCTATATCGGAGGAGTTTCCTCTACAGTGGAAACACCAGGTGTTCGCCAGCATGACCTTATAGCTCCTTTAGTTGGCCCTAGAAAGCTAACACGAGCGTCAAGAAAAACGTTTTTCTCTCAAGTAACTTGTCAATGTTTCAGTGCTAATATGGCAAGGCTTAACCGGGATATGTTTTACAATAAAGATGATTTTTCAATGCTTATCCGATAACTTCCCTTTATCGGGTATTATTTATGTGCTTCTCATTCAAACCGTAGCAGTGTAGTTCTGTGTATATGAGTCAGAATGCACATGTAGTTCCCATCCAGAAATTTTGAACACATGGCAAAACACAAGTTCTGCAGGCTTCGAATCACTTTTTGGCTACGTTTATGTACCTTACTTCACGGTAAAGCACACAGATGAAGAAGATTGGGCGTGAGATATTTTGTCATGTTCAAGCAATATATTTACTTAAACAGTTTCTTGTGTTCTGTGCATCAGAGAGTTCTAACAGCAGATTCGGCCCTCTAGACTAGACCTCTAGTCAAAATAAATAGGTGTTTCAACTGAATCTGAAACTTCATGAAACATGAAGGACAGAAGTGGGGAGACATCATCGTTTCTTTCATTAACTGCGTAAAGTATACATGCCCAAGTCGGATTGAAAATGAAAACCGATTCCTCTGTTTACAAACACACATACTTCTGCAAAGCATCTGAGTAAACATTGCATATTAAGTTCGTGGGTTCCATGTAGAATGTGTAAGTCAGCCGTGCTGTGTTACTTATAACTGCGAGGAACATGCAGGTAATTGCAGTTCAGAGACACTGAGGCGGCCCATGGCTATCCTTATTTCCTTATGCACTTGAGCCATAACCACGGCAGATGTAAACCTAATCTCCTTTTTGTAACAAAGAATGTTACCATAATGAATGGATGAGACATGGTCTTTGGCCTTTCTCCAGATGGTCAGTGATACCACGGGGAACTGTCTCGCACAGTCGACGTCTTGCACACTGGATTTCATTGAGTGAATGAATGTTGTGTTACACCGTAGACAGGAGTTATCAATCAAGATCAGGTACGAGTCGAGACTGGGCGAGGCAAACCAGGAGCTACCCGCGACCGACACTGTGGGATACGATGCCATATCGCCAGCCAGATCATATTGTGACCAACCAATCCTCACAAGCACTTTGGACATATTCTGCCCTTCAGTTCCCGATAATAATACGTCATGAATAGTGAAGGTAATCTGTGGCCGAGGGCTTAAGATACTCGAATGAATATAAAACGTCAACGCAAGAGAACAACCATTTTGGATTATCAAACAAAACAGATCCCACAAGCGTAAGAGGCAAGATAGCGGTGACAATAATCTATGAAGCATACTGTTAGCATTGTTGTTTTTGTTGTTGCGAGATATGTTTAAGAAGTAGTGCAGAAGTGTGCCGAAGTTTATTGTATGTGTGTGTGTATTTTAGCCATGTGTTACTTTTGATCTGCCAGTCTTTTAGTATGACTCGATGACTTTCTCTGAAAGGGGAAACTACATTTCCAACGACAAGCAGTATGCGGTCACGTGACTGTCAGCTGCATGTTTACCAACGTGGGTTAATGATGGATAAGTGTTATTTGTTTGTTTGTTGTTTAATGCCACACAACACTATTACAGCTATAAGTCGGCTATATAGAAATAATCGAGTCTGGACCAGACAGGCAGTGATTCACACCGATCTACACAATTGGGATACGATAACATGTATCAAACACTTCACTTCAGCGAGCATAACCACCCGATCCCGTTAGTCGCCTCCTACGACAAGCATGGGTTGCTGAAGATCAATTCTAGCTGGGATCTCCACAGGTCTGGTGATAAGTAGCACATCTTCTCAGTGGGTACTTTTTACATGAAAAATCGCCGTTCATTCCAAGTCTATTTTGAATGTAATTAAATATCAGATCTGTATGCAAAATACGGGCTACCTTTACACGTGCAAGAAGATAATGTATGTAAAATTGATGCTTGAGATTCTATGCTGCTTTCAGCAACATTTCAGCAATATCACGGCGGGTATAATCCAGAACGTAGACGTGAGGGGAACAAACTGCCCTCCCATTAAATATAAAACGTCAACGCCAGAGAATAATCAGTCTAAATTATCTGCCGAAACAGATTCCACTTGTCGAAAGAGACAAAATAATGTTGAAAATCAGTGATGCAGGTGTTCGCCAAAAACACTGAGACTTGTCGGGAACATGGATAAATATGCACTGATTACGAAAAGGACCGAATGTGATATATGAGTGGGGCCGAGGTGCAAACTCGGGTCGAAGGTAAACCATTCCGGTTCACTGTGCAAGAATGCACGCAAAGAATCCTCAGTACTCATACTGGGATGGGTTGCCTTACCACACCGCTCCGGTTGTTGTTCATAAGTCAGATATCTTATTTCAGGACCTTCGTCTTTCCGAAGCCCATGTATTGTCGAGATTGCATATGCCCCTGTTCAAAGACACATTCACAATAAGACCATATACATCATAAGGGCCAGAATGCCTGTCTCCTACGCCCTTGCCATGTCTCTGCAAACCGCATGTGCATGCGAAGAATGTTTCAATGTTCCACGTGGTCTAGCCCGCCATTATGAAGGCAGACTGGGTTACTGTCTACAGATATCAAGTATCCACACGTGCGGTCGCGCATACCGAGAGTGGTACCAGTTACTGATGAATGTGACAGCAAGTGATACCACGTGCTTAGGGTATACCGGAAGATAGCTGAAAGATGATTTGATTGTAGCTGTTCAGGTAAGTACGACTTAAATTCTCCAGGGGAGAAGGATATTTCGACACGACAACCCTGTTGATGCACACGGGAGCAGATCAAAAGCGTAGCCTTACTGAGTTTCGACAGTCATTGAACTTGGACATTGCGCGGATGAAAAGATTGCCTGACCTTTGAATAAACCTTTATAGATTATTCATCAAAGAAAGCTACGTCTTTTACAACGCTTTAGACGTACGCTGTTTCGTCACTAGCATTTGGGTTTCAGTGAGTGAGTGAGTCATATTACAGTAAAATTTCGGCATGTCAGCTTAAAATAGGAGGAAGCTACAAATAAGGCAGTTCTTAGACGTTTACCATATAGAGCCGCCTCCTTCGTCTAGTGGATAGAGCGTCTGCCTGGAGAGCGGATAGTAGGTGGGTCGAGTCATACCGAAAGACGTTATAAAATGGTTCTTGCTGCCTTTTCTGGCGCCCGGCATTAAGGGTATAAAACAAAGACTCTTGGCTCTTGACATCTCAGTTGCATTAGCCCGGATTGGTACAAGCAGACAAACAAACTACCTGATATAGGAACATGTCATGAGACACAAAACAGTGACAGCGGATGTCTCACTGAATCTTAATAGCTAAATGATGAATAAAAAAACCCCTAGAATTACCGAATTACTTGATCATTTAACAACTACGATTCTCTTTGAACCCACAAAGACATAACCACAACCACTAAACTGTCACAGATCCAAGTTTTCCAACACCCCAGGCCAACAAACATCATTTGCATGGGTGGACAAAGCGAACAGTTCAAGGCTGGAGATCGATAAACAAGAAGTCATGGGCGGGAATGAAACTTATAGAATCCTCACAATCGCTCCTCATTCCATGGCCATGGGATGAGATTGAGCTAAATAAACTCTGAAATAGAGACCTTATCTGTATCCGAGCTCCAGGCCTTCTTGTCTCATCCCCTTGCATAATCGGCAGATTTAAAGCAAAAACGACCATCTCATAGCTTGAGGGGTTTGGGCAGATTGGAAACAGGAACGCAGGCGCGTTTGAAAAGTGTTTCTCTGTCATTTGCGTGACATAACCTTAGCGTTCAAATCACGAAAATTGCTAATTGGTGAATGTTGCTTTAAGATCTTGTAGAAGTAAGTGTGTTTGGTATGTGAGAGCTGTGTCATAAAACACATAAGTATTGCATCAAAGCATATAAATCGAGGCTGTATAACTGTGGTGTCAAAGTTGAAATAATCTGGTACAATGACATAAAATAGACCATAAAAAAAATTAATTCAGTACACATGATCACAGCCAATAAGAGAGAGTGATTGAGTGAGTGAGTGTCGTTGACAGTACAGTTCTCAGGGTATATGACAGACTGAGAGACCATAAGTCTGGACAGGTTATCAAGTGGTTGATAGCATGAGCAACATCTACGCCACCGGGGCACGAGCGTCAAAGAGTGAGTGAGTTGGGTTTAACGCTGATTTTAACAGTATTCCAGTTATATCATGGCGTGTCAGCTTAATGTGGGAGGAAAGCCCGAAGTGATGCAGGTCTCAGACGTTTACCACTTCGGTGACACCCAGGCACACGGGTATGGTGCCGACAAACCTAGAAATATGATCAGGTCGAACCGGGATTCGGACCCACATTCAAAGGTTTCTGGCTCTCCCAAGGGACGCAACTCTGCACACCGAATTGCGACAGGGCCAACCGTATTCCGAGCGTAAACGAAAGAAGACCAATGACAATTCAAATAAACTACTTACAAGGAGACATGACAAAGCCTCTCCGGCTGACGGTGAACTGCTGTGCTGCCTCTCCCCCTTCAACCAGACCATTCCAGGCCTGGCACTCGCACCAGTAATCCTCCATGCCTCTGACGTCATTCTCGGTTACGTCGAACGTAGCCTTTATTAAAATCCGGCCCGATTCAGGCTCAAAGCTTTCATACGTCTTCATACGCTCGGTATCCATTTTCATTCCCAGGCAGTTAAAGGTAATTTCCATGGCATCGTAGGCCTCGCATGCGAGGGTGACGGGCTGGTGCTTCACGATATACGAATATTCCTGGGGGTGAGTCACAAACTCCGGAAGCGCCATTGAGGTATCTTGTCCAACACAGGACATCAGGAATGTACCTGAGAGAGAGGTAGACTTTGTTCATGGTTCATATTCTAGCATTTGTCATTCACAGCATTTTGATAATACACAAGAGCATTTACATTCTTAGATATCATCATCATAATAAAATAACAGTTTACAAAATGGACATTGTCGAAGTAGAAACCTTATAAAGTGGTACCAAAATTGTCAATTATTCACAAATAACAGTGTGAGTGCATGAGTATGGTTTTACGCCGCTTTTTAGCCATATTCCAGCAATATCAAGGCAGGGGACACCAGAAATTGTCTTCACACATTGTACCCATGTCGGGAATCGAACCCGGGTCTTCGGCGTGACGGGCGAACGCTTTAACCACTAGGTTACCCGACCGCCCCTCACCAATTAATAGACGTGACCGTATGAATTAAGAGATGAGGTGAGGTGAAATGGGGCTTAACGTCGCGTCCAAGATTATTGCACTTATATAGTGACGTGTGTGTGAGTGTGTGTGGCTGCTTGTATTAGTCAGGACTAATACTGACTTTAAAATCCACTGAGGTCCAATGTCGCAGGACACCAGTCCTTGTTTTAGTCCCTTAATGCCGAGCGCCAGAGAGGGTAACATTAAGTACCATCTTTTAACGTCTTTTGTTACGATGCGGCCGGGGATCGAACCCCGGACCTTCCGCTCTCCGGGCGGACGCTCTACCACAAGAACACGGAGACGGTCGAGTGAAAAAAGAAGTGACTAGTGGCTACTGCAAAAGCTCCATCACATCTTCAATAATATTTTGATAAAGCATTTAACGTCTTCAAACCGCAATATTTCGGAAGCTATAGGTACCAAAGGGTAAAAGGTGAGAAGTCGCGCTGAATGTGTGTAGAACGTCTTCGTTTATCGTGTGCTAATGATGTAATCTCCATGAAAACATATCAGTTAAATATCTTCAAATCCCTTATGAATTATACTTACAGAGTGTGGAGAGGAGAAACGCTGTAGTCATCTCCATCTCTGCTGTGACTGTTGATGGTAGTTGTTTTTGATTAGTATGGTACTGGTGTTACACGATATGTCCTTGTACCGGTCTCCTCTGCTGCCTTAGTATGTCCTATACAGCGTCCTGGGCTGACTCTCTCTCTCTCTCTGAAAAAGAAAGCAACCGTCAGTATCCAATGGCACTTACTTTTGATCAATACGGTACACTGCTCATCAGACATAATCTATCTATGAAACTTTACTTTGCAAAATATAGTACCCCACGTAGGTCGCGTAATGTAACCATTAATGTATGTTTTGTTTGATTAGCACCGTATCTCGTCCATGGTCTTGTTCCAGCATGTTGTACAATCAGCTGATATCAACCATATTACATTCAACAATTGATGGCTTATCATGGCGACTTTCCCTCGGTCCTCCTGTTACAACGAATATTTACAATAAGACATGACATGCAGGTTACGGTTAATAGGAATTGCAGGTTGCACATTGTTGAGAACCATATAACAAGACCACATCTTGCAGCCAGAGGCATTGTACGGTGACTCATGAATCGGATTTAACTTTGTGGGTTGAGTGTGCAGAGTGCATTTCATGGAACTTGTATTTGTGGCTTGCACGCATATGACCTTCAGCCAAATGACACGAAACTGAAAATGTCTTGTTTCAAACAAAAACAGTTACATTTATACACACTTCGTTGTCAAACGATGTCAAGTTCTGTCTGGCACCAACAACCTGGTATCAATTGTCTCCAGTGACATGCCTGATGAAGATTTATAACATGCAACCACAGAGAACTCAGTATCAAGTAGGGGGACTCTTAGTCTGTCTCACAGTCCTCGAACCATATTATTCCCCTTCCGCCCAACCCTTACTATAATGCTATAGCTCTAAATGAAGCAAGTCTAGATTTTCCCAAGGATCTGGATCTCCTATACTAGTATATCTCAATGGAGCTCCTTTTCAATTTAAATGTAGTTGTTTGTTTCCATCAAAGTGTTATATTTTTCGGAAGGGGTAATCTCGGGGAATATAGCCTGTCTATTTGTCAAAGCCTGGTTGGCCATGTATCAACTCCTATTTTCAAAACCAACCTTACCTCAGACAAGTTGTCGTTATTGGAAAATACAGCAACAAAGAGACAACCAAATTGTTGCATTGCTTTGAAAAAGGCCAAAATGCTCATGGAATTGTAGCACAATGACAATTATGAAAAGATTTATTACCATAACTGTTTTATTAATTGAATAATATTTCTCCCCTACCGTTCGAGTAATCCGTTCAAACATGAAACAGAACGACGGCCAACTTGTCTGGAAACGTTATTGTAAGCTATTGTATCACTGATATCTATTGTTAACGGCTTCTAACCATTTGCGCTGTACACAGGTCATTATTTGTGCCCAGAAAAGGCTTGCGACTCGGAGAGCGGAAATAATTGACGTCAGTTCTATTCAGCTGCAGAACTGGTTTTATCATTGGTTTTCTTAAACGCTTGCCGTCACTTCAAACGCTTACTTCATTTCCGTAGGCTGTGTTGCACTTAAGAACTAAGGTTTTTATAGATGACAACTTCTTCATTGTCGATTGGAAAAACGTTTCAGAGGGTTGTGCAATTCCTTCATCAGGTGACTGGCCACATTGCTAAACGAGTTTTACTATCATTAACTGATTGCGCTTTACACAACGACATCTCTCTCAGCCCGTCGCTGTCCCTTAGGTTATCTCGGACAGAATAGTGTGGAATCCATTTTTAAATAGTTTCGTGGACGTGATTATCGCGTGACGCAACCACGCGGCGAGGTGATTCTCATATTCAAGTACAAAGTGTTGCTGTTTGTTGTTTCCTTCAAATCAGAATTCATGAATCATTTTTGGTATGCATTAAACACATGTAACCTGTCTTATGCTGCCGATACTGTGACATTGTGCTATATCTCGCCTGAGGTATTATGGACAACTAGTTAACGGCATTAGTCGAGTGGATCCGAGTGGATCCGAGTGGAATCAGTCAATGAAGACTGCTTCAACCAGACACTTAATATGAAATTCAAGTAGTTAGGGAAAAGTAAGTGAGTATGGTTTTAGGCCGCTTTTAGCAATATTCCAGCAATATCACGGCGGTGGACACCAGAAATGGGCTTCATACATTGAACCCATGTTGGAAATCGAACCCGGGTCTTCGGCGTGACGAGCGAACGCTTTCACCACAAGGCTACCCTACCGCCCCTCGTGTATGAACATATTCTACACTTCAGCAGATTATCTTAAAAATGTGACAAACTTGCGTTTGCTATGTTACATTTCAAGAACACTGCGCTTGGACCTGTCTGAAGGACGAGGTAGGAGCACAAGCTACGCCTATCCACATCTCTGAAGGTTATTTAAACTGGTTTTCACTGTTATACTCGGGTCGCTGTTTACGCTATCCCGGGAGGCTGGTAACAGCGAAGCATAACACCTTTCCCCGGTATCACTGCGGGTATTTATAATCGCCGGCTGTCAGAGAGACATTCAAGGTGAGAAAGCGCCCAGTGTTTGGCAATGATGGTGCAAAGACGAGAGGATGTGCTGCCTGGTTCTCTGGTTCTTGTGCGCTGCGATCTAGCGTAGAGGACAATGCACAGCACCCAGAGATCAAGGTTGAGTGTACTAGGGGCACACAGCACAAACAGGCCAAGATCACCGTGACATACATTGCTATGTGACTGGGAACATCCTCAAAGCACAAATAATTTCTGTCACTGCAAGAAACCACTAAACATTGCACAATGGTATCTATACCGCTAAGAACTACAATGTTTTTCAAATAAGAACTTTTGTGATAATAAAACATCCATCGAGTGTTAAGGATGGTTCAGCCTGATATATTTCTAACTTGTTGTCGGGGTTCTATCTGCCTAGTCCTATTTGTTTTCGCATCTACCGTGGTTGTTGTGCACGTGATGTTTTCAAGACAGGTTAATCGATAAAATCACAGCTAATATCCTTCTCAAAATACCTTACGAAAGAAACCATATTTCTTAGTTACGCACATGTGTACGAAACTATCGAATACGTTTCTTTAACAACTCCTACCGGAAGTACTATAATAGGCATTGTGGGTAAAACAATTCGGCTGCTTGTCTCTGGTTATAAAAGGTAAATTCTCAGCTTACAAGTCATTAGCACTTGCTTGTCTTCAGTAGCTAAAATAGAATTGTGAATTCAGTTGCAGCCCAATTAGGTGTTTGATAAGACCAGGGGTAATTTTACTCTCATTTGGCATTCTTGTTGAAAACTGTTCGTCAGAAAACACCTGCCGAAGCAGAAATCTAGATTCGTAGGTGTACTAGCACCGTGTGATTAACTACATAGGAATATACGCATGGTCGTGTATATTGTTGGTATCAGCTATTATGCAAGGTTGGACCTATGGTCGAACGACATCTAAGAGATATATCGTCTTGAATAGATCTGAGAAAGAAAATACCCATTAGTTAAGGAAATACGTAGTGTCGATTTGCTTATCCAACAATTAGGTCATCATGTGGAAGACTTTTCAGTAGCGAATATGCGATTGAATCATACTGTCTTAACAATATAAATAAGATGAAAACTAAATATATTTTATCATAAAATGCCACACATCTTACATTGGAACATAAACTTGCCACGCCTAACGAACAAACACGTGTTTATTACTGAACTTGAATCACATGTCTGTTTGAATCTGCAGCAATACACACCAGCACAAATCCCTCAACGTCACTCCAACGCACGTGTTCAGGCTTTGGTGAAGCCGCTCGCCTCAACACGGAGGCACACACCCACTCCAGCCGTCTTCGTCTGTACAACCTATTTCTCTGGTTTTCTATCTTCTACGCAATAAATCATATCCGATATCTCTTAAGCCAACGAAAGCATTATCGGGAATTCCCTCAAATAGGTCAAAAATAGCGATAAAAGAACATGAACATGGAAAGTTCATAAAGAAAGTATTTTCTGGCCTTTACCCCACGTCCATGTAATCTTAACAGATTAACCCCGTCAGTCGTATTTTCTGGTTGAAGGTCATACATGATGTTACATCATATTAAATTTCATAGGTTTTGCCAGTTGACTTAATATTGTTAATGAATAGCTCACTGACAGGAAGGTCCTTTCGCTATTCGTTATGACATAACAAAGCTCTGAATCTTTTCCCCCACCGTTTCATTTTTAAACAATGATGATTCATCCTTTATGTTTGGGGCCACTATGATCTCGTAACCAGCCCTGATCGAGCACCTCGCTCTGGAACTAGTGTGAGAAACACCACACACAAATTCCTTCTTTTTAAAACGGAAAGGACACACCAGACTAATACGAACCATGACCCCTTTGTGTTATTATATAGCCACAGACCTGAATGAAACAATGCAGGTTTAATGTTTGACACACTGGCAGAAAAACGTTTCCATCATATTTTGTTTATAAAACACGATAAGGTTAAACAATATGAAATCGGTAAGAGAACTGACGTGACCCACATGTTCGCCGGTCTGCCCCCTGCCCCCCTGCCCCACCCCAAACCAGTTCCCCCTTCCCAAACATTTCTGACCTATTGGAATTTGAAACCTTGCAAGAAACCCGATTCAGCCATTTTCCTTGGTTGTTGAATACCTTTCCGGTGTTGCTAGGCAACCGTCTTAACTACAATGCCGAGGGCGGCATGGTACGCCTTGAGAAGCCGGAGTCTTTGCTTGTATATATATAACACTTACCACGGTGTTTGTGTAACACGCGCGTCTAGAACCCACACAGAGAGTCTTGCAGAAGTTCGACCGCGGCTGGCTATCTTCACTTGAGGTTTCCCAGAATCCCCAAGCGTATGATTGGGATTTGAGACCGTTGAAGAATCCTAATAACCAAGCATTGGTGTTTGTATAACATTTCATTACAGAGCTGATGCGCTGGGATGGAATGGTGTTTTAAACGTAGCCGATGCTGTGCACATGGAGAAGGGTGGAGGCATGGACTCCCCTTGCAGAAGACGAATCTGCACGATATTATCAGTTTTCTCAACTGGAGCGTCTGGGTGTATATTCAGCCTGCCGCCCACCGCACCCTGATACCCCCAACTTGTCGCCCACCGCACCCTGATACACCCACCTTGTCACCCA